CTGCAATGCCAGTTTTTCTGGTGTGAACTGACAAAACACTAAGGAGGCTTCCCAGCGCTCTGTGACTTTAATTAAAGATTCCTGTTCGCATGTACAACCCATTTTATTGCTTCCTGATTAGGGTAGCAGGGAGATTAGTGGCGAGTTGCTTCTTAATTAGTCAGTATTTGTTCCTTAAGTATACTGATTTTTCTCCATTATGTTTTTCTTTTCATTTTTTAAATGGCAAAATAGCACTATTTTATTAGAAAACCTAAAAGGGGAAAATAATTAAAGGAAACTCACAATCGTGCAGGAAAGAAGCTGATTAATTAAAGGCCAATTCATGACTAATCATCAAGATATGCTGAGAAACGAGCAATAAAAAAACATAAATCCTGCAAGAAGGAAACATTTAATTAATGTTGCAGGGAACTTAAACGATACTCATTTTTGAGTAAATATAGGAGGATGTTGGGATTGAGGAAGGGTTACACAGTGCTGTATTAAAAGCTGTGTAAATTTATCATTTTAATTCCACTTCCATCTAATTCCAGAAAAGCAATGTTTCATCTTTTGGAGGGAAGTAAATACCTATTTAAGATACCCCTTTAAGATGAAAATCCCCTGCCCTGATTTCTGAGCTGTGTGTTATGAGGATTCTGTAGGGAAAGGGATGAACTTAGCAAATGCTCAGAGACACTATTATTTATCATTCCATGTGTTCCAGGCCAAGATCTGACATGGAAAATGGTCACTTTTTCCTGTCCTTTCCCATTGATGTCCCATGGAACCTCAGAGTTCCATGGTAGTACCTCAGAATTCTTGGGAGGTTATCAGACCAAATGGAGATCTGTTTAGGTTCAGCAAGGTTTCTGCATCATGTGCCTACAGACCATATCCTACAGTTTGGCTCAACTCATGCCCAGACTCCTGCTGCTGCTACTCTCCTTTGCCCCTTCTTAGGCCCACGTCCCTTGCCAGTGCCACAGCCTCAGGAACAGCCTGGAGCACCCTCCCTGGGCTCAGCCTTGCGCTTCCTCTTTCTTGGACACCACCCCTCCCTCTCCCAGGTTCGCAAATCACTCCTTCCCATGTCAGCCAGCAAATTGGTTTATCCTCCCCCCATCTCGGCTTTCATTACCTTGCCGAAATGAAGCGATATCTCCTCGGTGGAGGCTTCCCGTCGCCGCAGCCGGTACCCAAATCATGAGAGCTGGCATAATAAATGAAGACAAAGTGCCGGCGGTCTGGGCCATCTCTCCCACTGCACCACCAGCCGCTGCCAGCTTCATTATTCGCTTAAGTTGCCGGAGAAAATTACTTAACCCTGACCCGTGTATTAGGGGCCTGTATTAATGCCGCGACAGGCGCCTCTTACAGCAAAGAACAATTTATTAGAGCCGAAACAGGCTGCTTTTCTCTGTCATTTTTCCAATCTGAGCTTTGAACACACATCATTAAACTTGTCTGACTCTCTCCCCTTCTCCATCATTCCTTTTTTATTTTTTTTAAACAGAAAGTGCTCTAGAGAATGGAGATTGTTCTGAACCTGCTAACAAAGTGCCTCGGACTTTGCCCCCTCCCATCTCCCATGCTTCCTATCCCTCCCCGTATCTCCATCTCTGTCTAATTTGTGTCTACTCCATTCCACACTTTCTTTCCTTTGTACTTCATGTTTTGAAGATTCTACCTCACGGTCTCTCTCTCTCTCTCTCTCTGCTTTCCCATTCTGCCTTGTTATGGAAGGTTTCACTGAGGCATTTGCAAAACCAAGCTGGTTCTTAGTGAAAGCCTAACCCTGGGAGCTTTACCATTGTATTTCACTGTTACAACCCAAGCCTATGCATATTTACACAGAAGTAAATCCCACTGAGTTCACTCATATGGGAGAAATGCAGAAGAGTAGGGAATATTAGGGTCTTCATAGGGCTGGGGGAGATATTTGATTCAGTTTGCATTTAAAAGCAAACCTATCTACCTAATTCACACTTTCTGAAAAATATGTGAACGAAAGCAGTCATCCTTTAAAATTCACGCTTTTCTGAATTTTGCAATGAAATTTTCCAGTCAAGTAATGCATAAAAATGCATAAAATAGTGCAGAGTGCATAAATGTGCATATATACTGGTAAAAATAACATATACAAATGCTTTGCATACACAAATGCCCACCCTGTGGAATGTCCTCCCATCAGATGTCAAACAGATAAACGACTATTTGACTTTTAGAAGACATCTGAATGCAGCCCGGTTCAGGGAAGTTTTTAATGGTTGATGCTTTGTTGTGTTTTTAATATTTTGTTGGGAGCCACCTAGAGTGGCTGGGGCAACTCAGTCAGATGGGCAGCATATATAACAACAACAACAACAACAGAAATATGTTTTGCAAATATGTCCTTATTGTGTAAAATTGCACACCAAAAAGTGTATATTGGGAGAAATTCATATGAAAATGCTGAAGAATTTTCATAAGGACTTTTTTTCAGACGTGGAAATGTCAAGACTGGAAAATGAGAAACGAAGAGAAACAAAAATTGACAGATTCACCCAGCCCTGATCTTCAGCCATATTCCTGATCTCTGCAACAGGGTCAAACTAAATTTACATAGTAGCCTGGTGAGTATATGGGCTCCCAGTGACTGTGGACACGTCACTCTTATCTGTTTGTTATGCTACACCCTCTCATTGAGCTAAGCCATAGCTCATGATTTATCTGTGTTCAGATTCATCAGGAGCTGGATATAAATAAACTGAACTAAACTAAAACTGGCCTGTTTGGCACCCCATGCTGAGCCAAACCATGGCATACTGCAGGGGTGCCCAAACTTTTTTCAAAGAGGGCCAGATTTGATGAAGTGAACATGTGTGAGGGCCGACCAAGGTTGTTGAGTTTTTTTAAGGATTTAAGTTTACCCCCAAAATAGTTGAGCTTTTTTTAGGATTGAAGTTGCTGGGCTTTTGAGGGGATTTTACACCAGGACATATTATTGCCATGGAGGTGGCTTACAGATAAACTAAGAACAACTAAAAAATATAGGGGGAATCAAGTAAAATAAAATAAATATGAATAGAATTAAAACTATTTACTGTATTTACTCGAGTCTAATACACCATCAAATCTAGTGCGCACCTCAAATTTCAGAACCTTTAAACCAAAAAAAGTATTTGCTGGCAAATGTAAATGTGCCATTGAATCTAATGCACACAATAATTTTTGCAACGTAATTTGGCCAAAAAGGGTAAGCATTAGAATCGAGTAAATACAGTATCTATGATCCATTAAAAACATAAAATCACAGCAAAATCAGTATGCTACCATCCATCTCATTACATGCAGTCAGTTCCAAAAAACCTTCACCTACTGACAGAAGGACAACAAGGAGGGAGCCACTCTAACTTCTCTAGGGAGGGAGTTCCAAAGTCTGGGAGCAGCCACCAAGAAGGTCCTCTCCCAAAACCCCTACCAAGCATGCCTGTGTGTCATAGACTGGCTGGATGGAGAGGTGGGGGGCACCAGCTGGGAAACCCCCAGGGGAAGAAGGCTCAGAGCCAGAGGACTGGTGGTGGGACAACCATGAGTGGTTAGAGGGAGAAGAGAGAGCAGTCTGGGAAGAGGAGGTGTCAGGAGCTGAAGAAGTAACAGGGTTTAGTGAGCAGGAAGAGGCTGTGGCAGAGAGCACTCCAGGCTCAGTGGCAGAAGCAAAGGGTGTGTGTGTGTCAAGAGGCAGAGATGAAGCAGACTGCTGAAGAAGCCAGTGAGTCTTCCCCACTTGCTATGACCAGCTCCCCTCCTCCCTGGTCTCCCATAACACAGAGATGAATGAAGAGAGTAAAGCAAATAGAGACAAGACAAAGGAGCCTCAGCTTACTGGGAAAAGAACTGGGGGAGAAGCCTTAGAGAGCAGTGGGAAGATGGGGACCTTCAGTCCTTGCAACTGCCCCATTGAGGCAACACCTCCTAGGAAGAGTTGCTGAGATCACTAGGCCTGTGCTGTTTTGGTTTCTTTGAATGAAGAGTTAACTTCACTGACACCGGGTGTTTTACTGCTAACCTACTCCTGACTCCAGCTCCTGACACTAAGAGGGTGGCAGGACCAAGAGAAGGGTCTCCCTTGAAGATCTCAGAACCTGGGCAGGGTTTGATATCCAAAGGGGCAGATGGGTGAGGGAAGCTGAATCTCCACTTCCTACACACATACTTGTATTCCCATAGGCCTTTTCTCCATTAGCATGGGTCAGTGAGCCAAGCTGGGGTAGGGGGGTATAAGACAGAGGAGGAGAGAGTTGCTAGAGACCTAGGAAACAGTTCAGTTAGATAGGAAGGGTTGTTGTCATACAGAGCAGAGGTAGGGTCAGGCTATCACATGAACCTTGGCAGCAAAAGCTGCCATTTTTGCTGCAGCAGCTAATGTGAATTTCTAGGATTATATGTCCACCCTTAAAAACGATGCTTCTCCCCTTGCTTGGTTCTCAAGTGATGCTTCTTCATTCCTTTTTTTTATGAGCCACTCTCTCAATTTCCAAGCAATTTTCTTTATGTATCTATATGTCGGGCTGGTTTTAAATCGGATCTGTCTTCCCCCTTCTTCTCCCTACTATTCTTCTTTTAATTAGGACATGATCCATCCCCTCCTACACCTCTACCCCTTGACTGGGTTCATTTTGTGCTGAATACATTGCAAAACTTCCAGTAATTACCCCTCACACAGCACACAGATACTCAGTGGCCTGCTTCTCTATGGACCAGACTCAGCACACTCAGGCTAGTCTCATTAAAAAACAAAACAAAATAACCCTCCTCTTATAACTGGCACACCTCTTTCTCTCATTTTGTCTTTTTCCTATAATTTCTTCAGCCTTTTCCACAAGGCCACAGCAAAAAAGCTGGCACCCACCTTGAGTTATTCCTTGGTGTTATTCTTTAACTTACTATAAATAGCTTTATTCTTCCAGTTCATCAATATCAGTCTCTTGGCTACCATTAGGTATGATCCCTTTTAATAAATGGATCGACAATATAACATATATAATTTATGAACGGACTGCTTACAGACGTAGGCTTTGTTTGGATTAATATGACAATATTAGGAATGAGTTTATACAAAATGTAGTAGGCTACTGATATTTACATATGTATTAGGAAAATAATATCAAATTTATTTAAGAATGTATGGGTTAGGTTTTTTCCGTATATTGTATTTGTATATTGTTTCTTTCTACACATTTTTCTTTGCATCACTTTCTTTCTTTATAACATAAACCTTTTCAATAAAATATTAATACCAAAAAACTTACTATAAATAAAAAATCAATAAATAAAAAAGAAGTAAAAAATAGTAATGTATTTTACTTACGAAAACATAAGGAAAATGTGAAGCAACACTGTACTCATGTATTCAATAAGAAGTAAATGTGATCCCACCTTTTAGAGATCTGGTCAGTGAGTACTAAAACACAGATGACTGGCAAACTGTTATGCTATGTTAATATCTGATTTACTGCATTTAAGTATTTTAATATATATTAAATAATTATAATTTAACCATGCTAGACTAGCTGTAGTTGGGTTTTGCCAACTATGAGTTGGGTCTTTTGTTGCACTGATATGCAGCCAAATTCACAACCCGGCTTAGCTGAAGTACTAAGATACACAGGTACTTCAAGAAAGGTGCTTACTGCGGGATTGGTGCGGCTCATGAATGCAAGTTTTTCTGCATAAAAATGCCAGTTTATATTCTCCCCCAATCCATTCCCAGAAAAAAAAGATAAGTAAAACAAAACCTTTAGCAAATGACCTGTTTGTGATATCTCGGTGACTCTTTTTCAAATTAACCAACCTTCCTACCTGGACTTGTCACTTTCTAAAGCTGACAGAGGTGCACTTAATTCATTTCTGTCTTTCACAGATGCACACCAACAATGAAAGAGAGGTTCACAAGTGCTTTAAGTATCATGAATCACAGATGGAGCCCAGGCAGACCCAACCACCTAACCATCTCAATGCGAAAGAACTGGATTCAGGCCCCACCTTGCTCTTCCTCTGATGACATAACTGACCCTGCCAAAGCTGACTACTATAGCCACTAGCTGTGAGGCCAAAGCTAAAAATGTGCAGCCCTGGGAGCAGGGGGATGGAGACATGGTTTTTCATTCTTAGGAACCCCTAGAAGAGATTGGATCACAAGCAAATAAGCATATAGATAAGGGTGATCCAGTAGACATTGTGTGCTTGGACTTTCAAAAAGCTTTTGATAGGGTCCCTCATCAGTATCTGGTTATGGAACAGGAAGCAAAGAATGGGAATAAATAGTACTCGCAGTGGAGGGATGTAAAAAATGGAGTCCCCAAGGAGCAGAAATGGGACATGTGCTTTTAAACTTCTCCATAAATGATCTAGAGTTAGGAGTGAGCATTGGGATTGTAAAGTTTGCTGATGATCAAATTTTTCCAGGTGGTTAAAACAAAAAGGAATTGCAAGGGGCTCCAAAATACATCTCTCAGTGCTGGGTGAATGGGCAGTAAAACGGTAGATGCAATTCAGTGCAAGCAAGTGATACACATGGGGGTGGGGGAATTCCTAATTTTGTAAGTTAATGGGGTCTGAACTGGTGACTGACTAGGAACGAGTGGATAGCTTAGTGAAGATGTTAATCCAGTGTATGGCAGCTGTGAAAAAGGTGAATTCAGTGCTGAGGGATATTAGGAAAGAGATTGAAAATAAAGTTATTGTAGACCCAGAAGAGGTTCAGAAAAGGGCAACAAATATAATAAATGAGTTGGCACAAATGCCCCATGAAGAAAGGTTACAACATTTGGAGCTTTTTAATCTGGAAAAAATGAGAGTAAGGGGGATAGGCTAGAGCTCTATAAGAGTATGTATGGTTTATAGAACGTGAATAGAGAGAAGCTTCTCTCTGTCATAACACTAGAACCTGAGACCATCCAATGATGCTAAATGAAAAAAGATTAAGGAAAAAAAGTACTTCTTCACACAGCTTATAGTTATACTGTGGAATTTGCTCCCACAAGGTGATGTGGTGGTCACCAGCTTAGATGGCTTCAAAAGATGATTAGACAAATTCATGGAGGATAATGCTACCAGTGGCTACTAGTCACAATGGCTATGTTCTACCTCCTGGGCAGGGGCTGCTCTCACACTCATGTTCCATTTCTGAGTTTCCCCTAGGAAAGCTCATCACTATGTTCTTCACCACGCTGAGAACAGGATGCCAGACTAGATGGACCTTTGGTCTGATCCACAAAAACTCTTCCCAAGTTCTCATGTAAAACTTATGCTTTGAACGCAGAAGGTCTCCGCTTCAATCCCAGGCATCTCCAGGCAAGGTTGGCAAAAACTCTTGCCTGAAAATCTGGAGAGCTTCTGCCTGTCTATGTAGACAATACTGAGCTAGATTGTTTGACTTGTTATTAGGCTGCTTCCTATGTTCTGTTGCTGAATCCTCGGCCAGAAACTGCAAAGGGGTCACCCGGTACTAGGGGCAGAGGAAGAGAGTATCTAGCATGAGATGGAATGGCTGTTGCTGGAAGCCCCTCCCAAATTCCTCACTCTTTTGCTGCTCAGCCTGCTAGCTCTTCCAAGTTCTCTAATCACCTTCCTGCTGTAATGAGTCTCTCATCTCGCTGATGGAAATCAGGGTATTTGGTTATGAAAGGGACACTGTTAATAACACGATCTCCCTCCCTCTCCAGCCCCCTCCCAGCTTTCCACACAATTCTCTCAATTAACGATAGGCAGAAATTAATTTTTCCCCGGGACTGAAACAATTGCCTAGTGGAGGATTGTCAGCTCAGATCCAGATAGGAACCTTTCCCAGCAGAGCCCAGAGAAAAGAGGAGAGACCAAGGCGATAAGCAAGGCCCTATCAGCAACCACAGGACACCGTAATACAAATGTTATCCTTAGAAATGTATTTAAAGAGGATATGTTTATAATTCGGAAGAGATTGTCAAACCGCTCTCTTTCCCCTCCCACGGCAGCTCCATCCTAATGCTTGCTCAGCTACTGCCTCCTCTTTGCCATCAAGCTCTCTATTGCCTGCACGGGGCTTGGCAGCGATCATGGCCAATGAACATGCCCCTTTCCTTTTTGACTTACTGCCCACTGGATAAAGGAACATCATAGGGGCAGCACTTGAAATGGGCGATAAACCTTACTGCCTCACTGCTTCCTGATCCTAAAAGGCAGGGGAAGGAGGTGGCAGGGTGTATTTGAGAAGCTCAGAGTAGCTTCCACACAGGGCTTCCAATGGAAGCAGTGTCATAAATGACAAGAGAGGTTCCTCTAGTGAATGGTGGCATAGCAAGCATATACATGGAAGAATGCAATCTGAAGCAATTTGACAAGAGCAATCTTGGTTCTTCCCAAGTTTGGAACCAGGACCAACTTGATCCCAAGAGCATTCTAAAATAAGATGCACTGTGCTTCAGGGAACAAGCACTCCAGAAGAGAGTCCTGCATCATCTGTGGTTCTCTTAGAAGGCTTTTTAGTGACTGAGGGATGAACTGTGAAGAACAACTACTTATCACTGTTTGTTCAGCAGGACACCGTATCTATCAATCCTGGGAGTCAACTAGAATTGCCAGCTGAACTGAGGGCCAGTCTTATGGGTTCTCCATAAGTGTCTCCTTCTCTTCAAGTGTTGCTTTCTCCTTTAGGTGAGAACCTGGCATGGGCCATCAAATCCATAATTTAGCTAGGCAGTTAGCTGAAGCGTTTCTGACAATCCCGTATCCAAAGACTTCGGAAACTTCTTCAAGGCGGCGAGGAAGAAGCCAGAGGTGCAATTGTTGCTTTGTCCAGTCTTCAGTCCTTCCTTCTCTCTCGCTTTCAGCTCTGTCCTTCTCAATACCCAGGAAAGATTAACTCCTCTCCATGCGCCAGAGAAAGTTATTATCATTAATGAAGAATTAAAAGGGAGCGATTAATAAAAGGGCCTTATCTGGTAACGAGGAGGAGTCTGGACAATGGGAGGAAGATGGAGAAAATGAAAAACAATAAATATGAAGTGTAAAAGGAGGCGAGTGCTGCTCCCGCTCGTTAGATCACAGCTGCATCTCCTGAGGGGGGAAAGCTCCAAATTGCTAATTACTGCCTCTGAAAAGACCTCTCTCTGATATGTTTGCCGCTGAAAGGCTCCCATTAATGAAGCAGCAATGATGCCGTTTCCCTTTGACTTGCCTTCAATTCCCTCTCTGAGCTTCCTCCCAAGCCGGGAACAATGAGGCCCTAGGAGCTGGCAGCTCCCACAGGCCTCGCAGAGACTAGGCCGGGGGCAGCCGAGTGAGGGGAGCTGAGCCGGCTGTGAAATATGGAGGGGGGAGATAAGGCAAAGACAGAGGAAAGAGGCTCACTCCCAGGAGCCCAGGGAAAATTTGCAGTTATTATGAAGGAGATGAGACAGATTAAAAGCCCTTGTGTTCTGCACTGCCCTTTTATTTAGTGGCTTCATCTCGGAGATGAAAGAAGTTGGAAATGACTTTCTCTGCATTTTGCTGCAAGAAGCTTCATGGCACATTTTTTTTTAAAACTTTATTCCTCCCTTTGTCTCTTGTTCCTTCTATCTTTTTCTTTAACCCCTGAAAGGTTAGCTGAGAAGCACCAGGGGTTGCAGAACATTCACTTAGCCAGAGCAAACCAGCTCATTTTCCCTACCCAAGCTGCTAATAAAAAGTTAGGCCTTCACAGGAAAGCTTAGCTGAGAGAAAGGCTAGCGATGGCCAACGAGGCCTTCTCAATATACTCACGTTACTCGGGAGGGCTGAATGGTAAGAAAGATGCAAGCAGATGGTGCCTGTCTTAAAATAAGTACATAAAACATATAATATTTACTAGGAAAAAAACCTATTGCAAATAGACACTGTTTTGTACATTTGTAATATAGTACTGGCAAATCATATGAATGCAAAGGACTGGGAATGTAGTGGAAGAATAAATATAATAGTTAGGTGTGCCATTTTCAAAGTGGTTGGGTAAATGTATATGAAATACATCAGAAGCAGGAAATCAGTTAGGGAGGCAATAAGGCTAACTGACAAAAGTGCAAAAGTGTTATTGAGGGAACAAAGGAAAATTAGAAGCTAAATGAAGTCTTTGCACTTCATTTAGGAGGAAGTGCAGAGGGATGGCCACATCTGAGGTTCCTTTTTTTCTTTCTGGCAGTGTCTCTAAAGAACCTAATATAGTGGTACCTTGGGTTAAGAACTTAATTCGTTCTGGATGTCCGTTCTTAACCTGAAACTGTTCTTAACCTGAAGCACCACTTTAACTAATGGGGCCTCCCGCTGCTGCTGCGCTGCCGGAGCACAATTTCTGTTCTCATCCTGAAGTAAAGTTCTTAACCCAAGGTAATATTTCTGGGTTAGCGGAGTCTGTAACCTGAAGTGTCTGTAACCTGAAGTGTATGTAACCCGAGGTACCACTGTACTGTAGTGATTATAAAGGATGCACTTCTGGAGTTAAAAAAAAAAGCCAATTCAAAAAGTGAGAAGTCGCCAGATGTTGACACATTTTCCGAAACAGTAATTATTATTCTCTGGGGAAGGGCATCCAAGTCAATATAACAGAATTTACCTGTCCTAAAGGTCAGTAGTCACCCAGGGAACCACAATAAATTCATCCAAGTCAAATTAAATGGCTAGCTTGCTTTACAGCCTGAAATACAAAATGTTTGCTTGGATACTTAATTCTAATAATGAGTTTGATTTGGTGGTACTAGGCCTAGGAACCTGCTTCTGAAATATGTCTTTGGTACTGGAACCTGAAGCCATTTTTAGAAGTGAAGAACTCTTAGCCTTTCTCACAACACAGTCCAGGACAGTCTTTACCTGTTTTAAAAGATGGTACCCAGGAGAAGTATAAATTAGGAAATACTTCGGTATAACTTAATGCCGCTATCTGGGATAGATTTCTGTGTCACCAAGGAAACCTGTGTAACCTATGTCTCATATGCATTATCTAGAATTAATTTTATCTGCATATGCAAGCAGGCTGGACAAGTGAAGCTCTAGGGGTTGTCATCCTGGTCCCTACTGCCCATTAGCGGCAGGATTCTAGGTGGGCGGTAAGGGGGTTCTACGGCATAAGCTGAATTCTCCTTCCATTGAGCACTGGTGGGCGGTAAGGAAATGTTTACCATCAAAAAAGATGCATTAGTGGGTGGTAGGTATAAAAAGGTTGACTACCCCTGTGTTAGCGTTTCTGTTCTTCAAAAATGAGTCCTCTCAGCCAGATTTCCTCTCTTCCACACATTATCTGAATCTGTGGCTATAACTTCTTCACTTACCCATGATTTAAGCTGTGAAATCTTAATATGACAGACTGAGGGAGAGCATATGGGGCCACAATGACCACTGAAGTTATGATTTCTATGCACAGGTCAAGATAGGAAGGAAAAGAGAGTCCAAACAAAGGATCTGCCAAAGCACAAATCTTAAGTGAATCAATACAAGAATGTCAGAACTTCAATATGGAGAAATGTTACTTTCAGTTATATAAAGGCTAGAGGTCAGAGAACTACTCACTGGTATTTTCATAAATAAGAACTTCATAAACTGTGGCAAGACACTGTATACACTAGTAAATCAGGCAGGTGAACTGAAGGTTAGAGGCATAGATGTACTGTAGGTCACTTGACTTGATTTCTACACACAATATGGTTCCCCAACATGATGTTGCTAAATGGATCCATGTGGAAATATGCAGCGTGGGGGTGAAATTCAGTAGATTGGTTTTAGCTATAGCAGCATAAGCAGTGGCCTGAAGCATTGCAGATATGTCCTGCAAATGAAGGCAGAACCAATAGCCACATAAGGGGTAGTTCCTGTAGTCCAGAAGGGTCAATAAGGTATTGCATAAGTTAGAGGTGCCGTAGCTGTGTATGTGGTGGCAAGCACAGGTTATTGCCATTAGCACAAGAATGTTAGTAGCTACCCTTGTGCAACTGCAAGGGTTCAGGTCCCAGAATCAAAGTCCTGATATTATTACTCCTGGACCAAAGAGCAGGTAGGATTGGGGGACCGAGTATTTAGTTTGTTCCTCACAAACTAATAATAAATAAATAAATAAATAATTTATTATTTGTACCCCGTCCATCCGGCTGGGTTTCCCCAGCCACTCTGGGCGGCTCCCAAAATATTAAAAACAGAATAAAACATCAAACATTAAAAACTTCCCTAAACAGGGCTGCCTTCAAGTGTCTTCTAAAAGTCAGATAGCTCTCTGAAAAGTGTGCTGCCTTCATTGAACTGTCAGGAAGCAAATGCCATATTTAGCCATTCTTATTACAATGTGGTTGGAGGATTTCTATGGTTCTATGGAGGGACTGGGCATGAGATTAGTCACTTATATGGAAATCACTCCATGAGAAACAGCTTTGACATGCACCCTGGATAATAGGGTCATTCTCACCTTCTAAGACAATTCCACAATATAAAGTCTATAGTTTTTATGTGGTCATAAAATATATATATTTTGTCTAAAGTCGTTGTCCACATACATTTTGTATCCTTGATATTTGCAGATGTTCACAGTTCCTGTGTTTTAACATTATATTCCTGTAGTATGGGGATTAACAGCAGGACAACAAAAGAGGATTTTGTGAGCCCTTATGGTTGCCACCACTGTATGGCTTGAGTACCTCATTGCCCTTGCTACATTTGAACATATTTTATACGAATTCCAACTTTGTGCGGATACCTATCTGGAGATTTTGGAAGGCTTATATCATTTTTATATAAATTGTTAATAGTTACTGTATTGCTAATGGGAGCTGATTGGTTTTTCCCCTGTCACATTTTTTTCCTTTGTTAAATTTGTTACAAAAAATCATTAAAAATAAATAAAAGTGTATCCAGTTCACCAATTCCATGTGAATACCACCAAATAAAGTGATGAACTGCCTCACAACTTGGGGCATTCTAATGCAGCCATCCCCCGTCTAGCACCTTTTTGATATTTCAGGCTACAACTCCAGTCCAAATGGGTAATGGTCAGGGATGATGGGAGCTGCAGTCCAAAATCCTTGAGCAGCCTGTTGCATTTCCACGCAGGCCAATAAGTAATGTCTTTCCCTTCCTCTTTTGCAAGCGGGCTGTCCCCACCCTATGCTAGTGCACTCACTTGCCTGCATGGAATTCCTTATTGCCAATGGTTAGTAGGTGACTCATTAAACACAAGGCTGACTTCCCACCACCTTTTCGTACAGTCATGCTGGCTAAGAGTGCAGTTCTACAGTGTGGGAGGAAGTGTGGTATCCCCCACCTGTTCTAAGACATGATTGCTTTCACTGCCCCCATGTTATTATACTCTGCTCTACATCAATTCCAATCTTCTCACAATTGTGTAGACTAAACTCACCATTCTAAACTTCAAGTTTGTGTTGAATGCGTGGGGTAGCTTCTTTATTAATGCCTTTTCTTTACTGAATCCAAGGTGATGTACATCACCCCCCCCCATTATTCTCAAAACAGCTCTGTGGTGTATGTTAGACTGAGAGTAACTTGCCCAAGGTCACTCAAGGAGCTCCATAACTGAATGGGGATTCGTTAAATATATAAAGCCCCAAATAAAGAACAGTACCAACTTATTCTACATAGGTGGAAAAGACAAGAGCCTGACTGAATGCAATAGTCTGTACTGGACACAAAATCTAAAGCGAAAGAACCAGAGTCCTGATGTTCTGACTTCTGGCAGCAGATGTACGGAACAATTACCGTATTTTTCGCCCTATAACATGCACCCGACCATAACACATAGTTTTTAGAGGAGGAAAACAAGAAAAAAAATATTCTAAATGAAACAGTGGATGTATGATTTTTGTGGTTCATGCTGTGGCCACAGACATGTGATCTGACAGTGAGTTTGGAGTAGCCCAATGCAAAAATCCTGAGGATCCATGTGGATCCATGCTTTGTAACCACGTTTTTGCACCACTGCGGCCCCAGGCAACAGTGGGTACGTGCTTTTTTTGGTGCAAGCTGTAGCCATGGACATGCTATGTGATCTGATGGTGAATTTGGGGTGACCCAGTGCAAAAATCCTGAGGATCCATGTGGATCCGTGCTTTGTAACCACGTTTTAAGTGGGGAGGGAAGGAAAAGCACTCAAGGGACAAGGAGCACGCGTGGGGTGTGTGGAGAAGGATGCTGCTAATAATGCAGAAGGTTTAAGGGGAGAAGGCTCCTTTCCTCTCCCACTTTGCTCCTTTAAAGAAGCAGGCTCTCTGTCCCTCTCTCCTCCCCACTCAGCGGCTCTCTCCCGCTTTGCTGTTTCAAAGCGAGCCACGGAGGAGGGAAGGAAGGGAAACCATGGATCCTCTGCTCACAACTGCAGCAGAACCCCCCTCCCCCGCCACCCGTAGGCATTCGCTCCATAACACGCACAAACATTTCCCCTTACTTTCTAGGAGGAAAAAAGTGAGTGTTACGGTGCAAAAAACACGGTAATTTTTTTGCAATCAAGCAGGTCTAGTCAGTGGGGACGCGGGTGGCACTGTGGGTTAAACTACAGAGCCTAGGACTTGCCGATCAGAAGGTCAGCAGTTCGAATCCCCGCGACGGGGTGAGCTCCCGTTGCTCTGTTCCAGCTCCTGCCAACCTAGCAGTTCGAAACCACGTCAAAGTGCAAGTAGATAAATAGGTACCGCTCCGGCGGGAAGGTAAATGGCGTTTCCGTGCGCTGCTCTGCTTCGCCAGAAGCGGCTTAGTTATGCTGGCCACATGACCCAGAACTTTACGCCGGCTCCCTTGACCAATAAAGCGAGATGAGCGCCGCAACCCCAGAGTCGGCCACGACTGGACCTAATGGTCAGGGGTCCCTTTACCTTTACCTAGGTCTAGTCAGTGCCTGCATAGGAGCCTGCTCTGTACCCAGATCTGAGTATCCATGAGGAGGAAAAACACAATATAAATGGAACAAAGAAAAAAGGGACCGCTTGGGCTGATGCTCACTTTGCATAGGACATCTAAGCACAAAATACACACATACCTTCTGAACTGCGAAAGAGGCACGCGCGTAAAATGCGACGTTTGCCTCTCTCTCTCTTTACTAACGTAGTCCGAAGGAGCAAAAACGAGAACCTCGTGGCATCTTAAAACTTATTATGGCATAAGCTTTCGTCCATTTCATCAGACGGGAAAATAAACCCCCGGGGAGGACCATAAATGCTTTCCACCTCGCCACCGATCTGGACACGCGGGTGGCGTGTTTTGTCCTTGGGACCCAACATGCAGTTGCTGGGCGTGGATAAGCCCTTCTCGAGAAAGACAGAGCCCCACCTCCCTCACAGGGGGATGCTGCTGGGCTGGGCTGCCGCCTTCCAGCTCCGCGCGGAAGCCACCCCAAGGATGTCTGGACATGACGGGCAAGTGGGGAAGAGGAGGAAACCCGCTCAGCGCCGTCCCCTCCTCCTCCCGCCTCAGCCGAGGCACTGCGGCGTCGGAGAGAGAGCGAGACAGACGAAGCCGGTCAGGGGTGTGACGTCACCGCTTCTGCAAGGGGAGGAAGTGACGTTTCGACCCCCACCCCGTTCGCCCGCAGGTCTCCGCTCCAAGAACCGGAAGTGGCGTGTGGAACGGACTCGGCGCCGAGTTGGAGAGGCCTACGGAAGAGGCGGCTGTGGTGAGGGGTGGATGAGGCCTGAGAGGCCGTCGCGGGAGCCGGGTAAGCCGTCGGAAGGGGCCGGGGGCAAAGTCTCCGGAAGGCGAGGCCCAGCTGCGGAAACGGGCAAGGGAGGAAGAGGGGGGGAGGCCGGCCGGTTGGAGCGAAGAGGCCCTTCCTGCTCCAGGGGAGGCAGCCCGAGCAGGCGGGCGGGGTGCGGTGGTTGTTTACGGAGGCGGCTGCCGCGCAGGGAAGACTGTTGGGTTCCCGTCGAGTCCGCCCGTCTCGCCGCCCCGTCGACGCAGGCAGAGACACGAGCACAATAGGCCCCTTTCCTATTGTTGCTCGCCATTCGGTGCCATCCTGCTGAAGGGGGAGGCAGTTTCTGAAGGAGAAGGTAAGCAGGGAAGTAGCTGGTGTTGCCTGCATTGGCTGTCAGCGGCCATCCTCCTGGGTTTCAGGCAGGTGTCCTTGCTAGGGAACGAACCTGGGGCTGTCTGCCCGTTAGGGTTCAGGCAGCAGCTAGGATAAGAATGAGGGTTAGGAAAAAGGAATAGCCTCTCCTGTTTCCATTCTCTCACCAAACCCTAATGCAGAGTTGCAGGCTGGGTGAAATGGATGTAAGAGCAAGGAGGTGTCTGTTAGGCAAGTTAGGAGCACGCTGCAAACCGAAAATTATTTCTTAACTTGTCCCTTGTAACAAGTTTGCTAGTCTTCTCTTTTTTGATACTATATGTGGTATGCTTTATGGATGGTCACGTATGGGTAGTGATAGAAACGGTTCTAAAGACTACAGGGTGCCAGATGGGATCACAATACCACCACACACTTCCTCCAAGCAGCTTAGGGTGGTGAACATGGTTTCACTTCACTTATTCTTGCAGTGAACCCATAGGATATATTAGACTGAGATGTGATAACTCTTGTTGTGTACAGTACTTCATCCAGGGGACTCGTACAGCTTGGTTATATAGCTGAAATGGTTTCATAAGGCTCCTTGGGCCTTAGTTCTTATTTGTCTTGGAGAGATTGAACAGAGCTTTTCTTTCCTGTGAGTTTTCTTTCCCCATGTTTTCTTAAGTAGAAAAGTAGTCTTGGTGTGTGCATGAGGCAAAGTACACTTCAGTACCTTTAGCTGGAAAGGTGAAGCATTTTTAAAAAGGCAAGCCACAATTGTGGTATATAATCAAAAACAGTTTTTGGTAGATGTGCATTGGTTACTAGGCTGAAAGTACATGGTGTGAATTTTATGTTCTAACATGATGGCTAGTTCTAATTGTTTACTTTTATTTTGGCAGACATTGCCCATGGATGAATTGGTGCATGATTTGGCCTCAGCCCTTGAGCAAACTTCTGAACAGAACAAGCTGGATGAGCTGTGGGAAGAAATGACTCTTAGCCCAAGGCAGCAGCGACGGCAGCTTCGCAAAAGGCGAGGACGCAAACGGCGTTCAGACCTAACACACCAAGCAGAGCATGCTTGTTGCTACAGTGGAGCATCTGAATCCAGCCTGGATGAAGTTGTTGAGGACTGCCGGGAAGTGCTGACTGCCAACTTCAGTGACTCAGACGACATGGCAGTAGCCAAACGCCATCCAACGCTCAGTACAACTCTGAGAAGTAAGCAGCACTCGTGGCACGAGTCAGACTCATTCACTGAGAATGCACCTTGCCGGCCGCTAAGGCGCCGTCGAAAAGTTAAGCGTGTGACTTCAGAGGTGGCTGCTAGCCTCCAGCAAAAACTCAGAGTATCTGAATGGAGTTATGAGAAGGGTTGCAGGTTCAAATCTGCTAAGAAGCAGCGCTTGTCACGTTGGAAGGAGAATGCTCCTTGGACATCATCAAGCCGAGGACTTTGTGAGTCGGCAGAGACGAGAGCCTTCCTCAACAAAGGGGGAAGAAATGAGAGGATGGAATGTGAAGCAGATGAACAGAAACAAGGCTCTGATGAAAACATGTCAGAATGGTGAGATGTCTAGGCTTTTCTTTTGTCTCATGTAGCTGTGTAGTGCATATTGCTATAACATACTGTATTTCATTTGACAAGCTGTGAACTACTTGGAGCAAAATCCTCCAAAGAAAGGGCATACAAATTAACGGTACATGCTGATGATTGCAGTAGAGTTGTGAATAATGGAAAGGGACTCCAAGGGTCATCTAGTCCAACCCCCTGCAGTGTAGGAATGTCAACTAAAGCAACCAAGACAAGTGACCATCACACCTCTGCTTTAAAACCCGTCCCCAACCTCACAAGAAATAGAACCACTGTAGAAATGGAGCCTTTAATGTTTTGATTTTTTTTTAGTAGCAGTTGTGCTCTTTCAGGCAGGACATTAGCTGAGTTCTTGCATTAATTTATATCCTGTGCTTATATACTCAGAAGTAAGTTCCACTGTGTTCAATTGAACTTACTTTCTAGAAGGGTGTTTAGGATTGCAGTTCAAAGTTTTGTGCTGTCAAATGCTTTTGTTGCCATTTGTAAGGCTGACACAGGCATGTTTTGGGGGGACAATAATAAAATTGTAGCCAACCAATGTTCATAGGAACAGTAAATTAGTACTTCTATTAGTAGGGCTAACAAAATTGATTCAGGTCTTTTAGACTTGCTGAGTATATCTTAACCGCCTTTTGGTAACGCTAATTAGATTTTTCTTTGTAGTGCTTGATTCTAACTAAAACACCATGCTGAATCACCACCTTAGTTGCTGCATTCCATGGCTTGTTAAATACTAGACTTATCAGACCACCCACTTGTTTCCCTCTTTGTTGTTCACTTATTTTCTCCTTTGACGGGCAGTTTGTTTGGTGATAGCCTGAAGTAGCTCTTGAGAGCCAGGTTGAGCTAATGTATTAGAGGTTGGGGGGGGGAATCCCTACTCCTAGAAGGCAAGTGACAGAGACAGAGTGTCAGCCTCCCCCACCTCCTTCAGCCCGGCCTGACCTTCTGCACCCCCTCTGTGCCTCTTGTTTTCTTATTTTTATAGAAAATCAATATCCTTCCTGACACAAACAATAGCTCAGGAGCAGGACTAAATGGGGGAGAGCTGAGATCTGTCCATCACCTCTCAATTTAACTCTTCCAGGCTATTTAATTATAGGCATGCTTTGCTCCAGGTGTTTGCAACAGTGCAATTGCTAAATGAGGGCCATTTTAACAAAAGATTGGATGATCAATAACACTCTATAGCAGTAGCTTGTCGGATCAATAGCATTCATTATTTTGTGGTTAAAGTAAGTAGCCTCCATTGTAACTGGAGGTCATTAATCAGTGCTTACTGGACTGCAAGGCCTATACTAAAGGATAGTGTGCTTTGCCATCTGTGTGCAGGGTGAAGAAACTCTGGTTTCCTTGCATGAACCTTTGGGCTGAAGCTACAGTAAGATATATAATTCTGTAGACCTGTAACAACCATCTAGTGATTTATTAGTTTAGTTCCACCACCGTACCTTGGGAATTTGTAGTAGGTGATGGTGCTTCTAAAACAGAGTGTTATATATAAAATATAAAAGAAATACAATACGAACTCCTGACAACATGCCCAAACAAGAAGGCCTTGGTTGGAAGATTCCCCAACACTGTCAAGTGTTAGAAATCCATATATATAAGCTAATTACCAAAGGCACCTTAAACCTAGGTTGTGGTCGCAGCCACAGAATGTCTAGGTGCCATTTTTTTGTGTGGGGTTTATGTGTAATTTACTATTGTTGTTATTCATTTCTATACCGCTTTATATTTGAAAGAAAAAAATCTCGAAGCACTTTTCAACATATTAAAACCTTGAATAAAACAATGCAGAATAAAACAAATCCAAGTTTCAAGGAAAATATTTCAGATCCTTCTCTTAAGTGACATTTTGCTTTCCCTATACTGTATTTATTTACCTACTTAAATTTTATATAGCTGCTCCATAGTAGAAGTGCTCTAGGAAGCCTCTTTAACAAAAGACTGGTATTGAGCTGATGTCAGGCATTATGTTCCCCATTCCAGTGTGTAATACGTTTGCATTTCCTGGAGATATTACAAATGATGATGCAAATTTGGAGTGGTATTTCTTATAGCTCAGACTATAGTGGTTAAGAGTGTCAGAATAGAACCTTGGAGATCAGGGTTCAAATCCCCACTCAGTCATGAAGCTCACTGGGTGACCTTGGGCCAGTTATAGCCTCTTAACCTTCCTTGCGGGATCATTGTAAGGATTCTGAGGATCGGGTGAACCTTGTACTCCTTGGAGAAAAAGGTGGGATATAAATGCACTTAATAAAGCTTTTCTGCTTACCTGCTTAAGAAAGTTGGGAGTCAGCCAGATGGAGAAGTCAGTTGCCAATATGGCATCCAGAGATCTCCACATGGTTGCAGTTGGACCCACTCCTGTCACAAAACGCACCTGGCAACTAGCGAATTGCAAACACTGGTTCTGTGATGTTATCTTCTGTGGCTGCACTGGAAGCCTCTTTAATAAAAACTGGTATTGAGCTGATGTCAGGAATTACATTCCCCATTCCTGTGTGTAATACGTTTGTATTTCCTGTGTGCAAATTTGGAGTGGTATTTCTTGTAGCTCAGACTATAGTGTGATTGCTTCTTGGAAGTTTTATAGTAGTAAAAAGCTGGTTTTCAGAAGTTAGAAGGAACATAAGAAGTACATAAGAGTTATTGTATTTGTATTCCATGCTTCATTAAAATAGGCCAAAATGAAAGTTTAATTTCACAACAATCCTGAAAGGTGGATTATATACACAGTAACTTGTGCAAGTAACCCAGTGAAGTTCATGGTTGCATGCAGCCTTGCAAATAAGTGTACAGTGGTATCTTGGTTTAAGAACAGCTTAGTTTATGAACAACTTGGATTAAGAACACTGCAAATCCAGAAGTAGGTGTTTTGGTTTGTGAACTTTGCCTTGGAAGCAGAACATGTTTCGCTTCCTGTTGAGTGTGTTCCATTTGTAAATTGAGTCCCCCGCTGCCATGGGAAAGCACACATTGGCTTAAGAATGTTTTGGTTTAAGAACAGACTTCTGGAACGGATTAAATTCGTGAACCAAGGTACCACTGTAAATGTTACTCGTTACCTTTTTTTAAAAAGCCAGTTTGGGCATATGTTAGTACTTTGTAGCATGGCTGACTTGTCAGACTGCTGTGTCTGGAGGCTGGTTTTAATTCACTGCAGATGACCAAATGAATGACTAGAAGTTTGTGAGCAGGGATTCTTCTACCCTGGGTTCATTAGTTATCTGTTTGTTAAATTTATATCCCATCTGCCCTCCCAAAGGTGCTCACACTTAGCAGCACTTAGCCTACTGTATTATCTTGAGTTGTTTACAAGAAACTGAGTTGTATTCAACAAAGTTGTCCTGTCTGTGCAAAACTTCTTCTGTAACTGCTCTTTTCCTCCCCCACCATGTCCTCCCAAATCTATTCTGGGAATTTCTCCCAACTCTCTGACGCAGATTAGGGGGGTCGATGGGGAGAGGAAGATGTAGGGGAAATTCTGTTGCGCAAATGGGACTACTTCATTGGATAAAATCCTGAGAGGCTCCTGATTATATTTTTTGATTCATTTTGTAAAATAATACTTTAAGAAAGTAAAAGAAAACAGAATAGTTGACAGGGTATTGTTTAAGTGTCTGTTTGGTACTGGGAATTGTTTACTTGACATACAATGAATAGCTATGGAGCTTCAGAAATAATCAAATTATTTTGCATTTTAATAAAATAGGCAAAGAAAGTTAATCACTGTACATACACCACTATCCTGTAAGAAATGTAAGTCCCTTTTCCAATTGCATCTTCTTATCCATCAGATTTTGTCAATGGTGTCCCTTTGTTCTAGTTAACTAATCTAATACTCATCTGCTGGTTAAAATTCAAGTTTCATCAGTTAGAGTGACAAAATTACTTGTAAGGTTGAGAAATTCTGTAATGTTGCCACTGCTCATAAAACATGTCTCATATCATCATTCACTTTGCCTTGCAAACACCCAATCAGTTGTTCTCATTTTCTTTGTACTCTTAATTATTCTGTAACAGATTGCTGGCATGTCTGGAGGAGAATATAATTTCATTCCCTACAGTTATTTTTCTTCGAATACATCTTCTTATTTGCTCATTGTGTCATGATTGAACAGTGTCAAATAACTGCAGAACCAACATTCTTCATTCCATGACTATTGAAGGAAGTATGTAGAAGTATGTAGAACAGCCTTTGAACACTTCTTGAAAGCGAGTAACTGAGAGCAGCACACTAAACGGAGTGTATTTCACCAGTCCTGAAGCAACTTCACTGGTTTCTGGGCAAAATAGAAAATGCTGATGATTACCTTTAAACCCTTAAATGGTTTAAGATCCAGCTCCCCGAAGGCCCATTTTCTGCTGCATGAGACTGCCCAAAGGCTATTATTTTTATTGGATGTCACCATCCGAGTCTCCCCAAAACACTCATGCATACTTTGAAGCTAGATGGGCAGCAGCCAGAGAAAGGGCTTTCCTAGTGTCAAGTCTGACGTCTTTGCTGGCACTATGTGAAGACCCTTTTTTATTTGCCGAGGCCTACAATAACTGGTTTTATTGCAGGGATAGCCAACATGATGTTTTGAACTACAAGTCCCATGAAACCTGACAATTGACCATGTTGGCTGGGGGCCTGGGGCTGATGGGAACTGTAGTCCGAACCATCTGAAAGGCACCATGTTGACTACTCCTATTTTCTTGATTCTTCTGGTTTTTATTTGCTGTTGTGCTCTGCTGTTTCTTGTAGTTTAAATCATGAAATGTAACGCGTTCCAAGTGAATTTTGTGCTTGTCTTTTCCAATGCACCACAATAATTGGAATTGTTCTAATCCCAGTATTAAATCCCCACATACAAATTTAGTGTTCTTGGAAGCCAGTCATTTTACAAATATCTATATTACTTGTTTTCAAGTTGAACTTTGGTGTTCAGGGGAGCACCATCTCTTAATAGAATTGCAGTGACCAAATTGAAAGCCTGGTGTAATTGGCGGCTGCTTATGTGCCTCATATAATTCTTTTTTATAAGACATGATGCCATTTGAAAGAGAGGCTAAAATATTGTATGTTATGTCGCTGGAACAGGCCAATAGTCCTGCATCCTGTTCCAGTGGCCAAACAGATGCCTGTGGGAAGCACACAAGCAGCACCCTGTCTACCTGTGATTCCCAGAAAACTGGTATTCAGAAACATACTACTTTTGACAGTGGAGGTGTTAATACACAGTATTACCATTGTGTTTGCACTATATTCTTCATTATGACTGTAGGAGAAAAAGATATCACTGGCACACTTTAACAATTTTTATCTTGTATTTTCATATTGTGAACCGCCCTTCCTGTACGGATGAAGAGCAGCATACAAATTTAATTTATAATAATAATAACACTTACTCTCCCCTATAATTGGGTAACTGAAACACCTGTTTGTTTACCCTCTCCTGGTTTCTTTCTTAGTAAAATAGCATCTGCAGGAATATTAATCAATGTCTCTAAACTAATTTGCTTTTTAGGATTACTATATATCAAAACCCTTTATAAGATTCATATATGATACTCATCTAAATTGATAGGCCACCACTGTGCTGCTCATTTAAGTGTCTCCTGACATCCCATGTGTGGGTCAACTAGGCTGTAAAGATGAATAAAGCAATACCATTATCGTGTGCTGTCTAGAAAGTGCTTTGAGACCCTCCTGCAGTGAAGAGTTTTTGCAAAGTGGATTATATCAATTGCATTTGTGCTTAATTTTCTCTGTTCTCTTTTCAGTGAAACCAGTAGTGTGTGCAGCAGTAGTGACACTGGCCTTTTTACCAATGATGAAGGTCGCCAAGGTAACTATATTCTTATGTTTCTCTTCTTTAATTTTATGCTTAAAGTATTTATACATTTATTTATTTATTAAATTTGCATACTGCCCTTCATCTGAAGTTAACAGGGCTGTTCACAACTTCAAAATACAAAATGAGAACACAAAGTGCATAATAAAACAAAAACAAACCAATAACACACCCACCCAACACATTTAAAGGGCTATAGAATGTTAATCAGCCAAAGGCCTAGTTATAGAGAAACGTTTTTGTCTGGCGCCTAAAGATATGTAATGAAGGCATCCAGCTTAGCCTCCCTGGGGAGAGCAGTCTACAAATGAAGAGCCACCACCAAAGAGGCCTGTTCTCATGGAGGAGACACAGTGGTGCCTCGCAAGACGAAATTAATTCGTTCCGTGAGTTTTTTCATCTAGCGAATTTTTCGTCTTCCGAAGCACGAAATCCCATAGGAATGCATTGAAATTCAATTAATGCGTTCCTATGGTCAAAAAAAGTCCAAACAAAGCCAAATTTGGTACAACAAGAGTTTATTAAGTGCTCTTTAAAGTCACACATACTGTAAAGAGCATTTCAAAAATTGAAGGAACAATAAATTAAGTTTCTAAACATGACAGAAAAACATTTAAAAATCAATAAAGTGTACAGTACATTTTCTAAGACTCTGGGGACAACTCGAAGAAGGTTCCTCTTCCACTCTTTGCTTCTTGCTGAAGAACCCCCTCCTCAACTGTTCCCCCAGCCACCCACCACATAGAAATTCAAATCCAGAATTTTTTTTAAAAAACAGCAGAGTGGCCCAATGGTCACAGAAAATCATAAAAATGCAGAAAAAAACCACACAAGCCTCCAGATTCTTGCAAACCCCTCCTCAACTGTTCCCCCAGCCACCCACCACAAAGAAATTCAAATCCAGAATTTTTTTTTTTAAAACAGCAGAGTGGCCCAATGGTCACAGAAAATCATAAAAATGCAGGGGAAAAAAACACAAGCTTCCAGATTCTTGCAAACCCCTACCCAGCACCAAGTCCTTGAATTCCAAACACCCCAACCCAAAATCCAAAAACCCCCAAAAAAGTTTTAAAAGTTTAACTTACCAAATGGCTGCAAAAGAAGTTTTGGAAAAGCTTCAAAAATCACCAAAGTTTTCAAAAACCTCAAAAAAGGCTACCACACCGTGTTCTATGAGTTGCTTCTCGAAGTCAAGTCACAACTGTATTAACAGTGTTAAGAAAAAGGAAACAAACTTGCAAGACGTTTTCGTTTTTCGTCTTGCAAAGCAAGCCCATAGGGAAATTCGTCTTGCGAAGCAGCTCAAAAAACGCAAAACCCTTTCGTCTAGCGAGTTTTTCGTCTTGCGAGGCATTCGTCTTGCGGGGCACCACTGCACTTGAAGAAGGTCTTTGGATGATAATTGCAGACTAAAGCTTATTCCATAATAAATGTGTTAGTCTTTAAGCTGCCACAAGACTTTCTGTTAATTTAGATCATGACTCTTGTTCAGTATCAAAACAGTCCTCTTTTGTTACTTTCTAAATCATAATAAAACTGGAGAGCTAGCAAGCTGTCAGAGAATATTTAGCAGCATCCATGTTGAGAAATATAGAATATCAGAAAAAAATGGCCAACTGCTCAGCACTGTGCTTTTTTGATGTGTAAGGATGAAGTAGAAAAGACCACTACTCAGAGTTAATGTCCTAATTAGGTAAGTGTTAGACAATAGGAGTACCAGAGTATATTGGGTTTCATGTATTCTTAATTGGTCTTGTAGAGAGAAAATGGTATGCCTTTTCTAAATGCTTATGTTTTGTGTTTGGTTTTGTTCAGTAAACTTGTAATTGTTCTTCTGTTGCAACAAATCTATGCCTTCCTTCAAAGCAGTGATTTTCTCTTGGGGCAGTTGCATTTTCTCAGCATTGAAATACTGTGTGTATTTGAGAAAACATGACACCCCCCCCCCACGTTTGTGAGTCCTGTTTGAATCCCCCCCCCAGTTTTTTGAAGGCTGAGGGGTCTTCCTCTAGCTTTCAAATTCAGGTTGATTTTTTTTGGTCTACATATATATAGTTTAAGAATAAGAATAAGAATTTATTATTTCTACCCTGCCCATCTGACTGGGTTTCCCCAGCCACTCCGGGTGGCTTCCAATAGAATATTAAAATACAATAGTCTATTAAACATTAAAAGGTTCCCTAAACAGGGCTGCCTTCAGATGTCTTCTAAAAGTCTGGTAGTTGTTTTTCTCTTTGACATCTGGTGGGAGGGTGTTCCACAGGGCAGGTGCCACTACTGAGAAGGCCCTCTGCCTGGTTCCCTGTAACTTGGCTTCTCGCAGGGAGGGAACCTCCAGAAGGCCCTCGGCACTGGACCTCAGTGCCTGGGCTGGATGATGGGGGTGGAGACGCTCCTTCAGGTATACTGGACCAAAACCGTTTAGGGCTTTAAAGGTCAGCACTAACACTTTGAATTGTGCTCGGAAATGTCCTGGGAGCCAGTGTAGGTCTTTCAAGACAGGTGTTATGTGGTCTCGGCAGCTGCTCCCAGTCACCCAGTCTAGCTGCCGCATTTTGGATTAGTTGTTTCCGTGTCACCTTTAAAGGTAGCCCTACATAGAGTGCATCATAAAGCTGTGCAGTTGCTAATAAAATATTTCTTACCATAGACAATGAGTTAACAATTAAACGTGTTCTTGTGCTCAGACATAAAGGACAAATTCACCTTGGAACACAAACAATAATGTTCAGACATTTTGTAATACATGTAGGATAAAGTTCTGCGTTCTAGGTACATGAGCAAACATGATGGTTCTAGCAAGGAATATTCATACAAGTATTCATACAAGTGAATGCTGCTTATTTCATTGTTATAGCTTGGAGAGAACCAACAGTGTTTAAATGATTTGATTTTTGGAGTGTTGGATCAGTTTTTTCCTTCTCTTTTAGGTGATGATGAACAGAGCGATTGGTTCTATGAGGGAGAATGTGTCTCAGGATTCACAGTCCCCAACCTCCTGCCCAAGTGGGGAACTGACCGCCAGTCTGACATGGAACGAATGGATTCCAGCCTTGAAAAAATCTCAGATCCAACATTCCTTCTGCCCTCTCGGCCAGCTACGAGAGGTGAGATTCTCAATAAGTGTTGTGGAGATAGTTGACACAGTTGAAATGCTTGTGGGTAACGTCTGGTTTTGTGTGAGTAGACTCCTCCTTCCTTTTCCTGCTTGTATCTTTTAAAATCTGCTGGGGGTGGGGCTCTGGAGATGATATGGAGCTAGAAGGGGAGGAGTGGGGGAGAGAGGTTGTGTAAGTGGAGGTTCATTGTGCAGTCAGACAGACACTGTATGTCAGTCAGATTCCTTAATAGATGCGTGAAATTTGTCACTCACCATGTAGCTGAGAAGCAAATACTAATTTATTGTGGATAAGCGCAGGCTGACTTACAGAAAGGTGTTCTGACTATGTATGATTATGCCTATTATCCTAAGTAGCTTGGTCAGTACCTTCAACTTTCAGTGCTCTTAGTGTGAGAATACTACTCACTCAGCATGCATTACAACAGTGTCAGAAGAGGGTGCTTTAACCCATGCTGCCTTCTTGCTATATGGCTATGGTCACTCTTCATATAGGTTATGTAAATAGAGAGAAATATAGAGAGCATAACAGCATGCCCAAGCTCCACAAAATATTGTAGGTAGATTTGGAAATTGGAATGCAGTCTAGTTTCTTGTTTCTGTATTACAACGAACTGTTTATTGTGGTCTTTGTTTTGATAGTGTTCTGTCTTCAGCGTTCTCTTCTTTCCTCTCCCCACCCAGGGTTTCATGCCCGCTTGAACCGTCTTCCCAGTGTTCCTACCCGCTGCCTCAGGAAGGGCCGTAGGAGGCTGGTGAGCAAGGTATTGCTTTTTTGAGAATAGTAATTTGTTGGTGACTGCTGCATCACTTGCGGGAGATCTACCTGCAGTTGAAAGTGGACCATGCAACAATTTGCCCAGCCACATTTTCCATCTTTGACCTGTTTTCAGTTCAGTTTGGGGTTGTATGTTCATACTTGTGATTTTTTTGCCCCAGTCCACTTTTTGTGTTGTCTCCACCTTCAACTCTGTCCACCTGTAGCAGAGAGTCACAGAATCAGAAAACCAGATAATAAAATAATCATTAGGAGCTGGAACCCTTCCAATACATATTATTTAATACTTATTATTAAAGACAGAAAATAAAGCTTTGATTGGTTATGATGGTTCCAACCAAAGCAGGAACATGTATATAATTTGACTGGAGTTTTATATGGTTGCTTAGCTGGAGAAAGTAGAATAAATAAAAAATGCAAGCACTTCAAGAAAACCAGAAGTGCACTCCTTGAAGCTGGAGACACAAGTTGAAACATGATCCTGCAGGGGTAGGCAGGGAAAGAAGGTAGAAGCAGACCACTCCCAATGCCTCTCGCAGGAAAGAGCATGAAATCCTGTTCAGGAGCTATTTTACAACTGGTTCAGAAGAGGAACAAATTTATCTTTGGGTTTTTCTTGGATTGACATTTGGTCCGATTCAGCAGTAAACAGCAGGTTTTCCTGGGGAAAGTGGTGGGACAAAATACTGTCTCAGACCCTTGATGATAGATCGATACAAAATACTTGACCAAATCACAGGACAAACAAAAGTTTGAATGGGCCTTAAATTTGCTTCATGTGTTGACATATGTCAAAACTTCTTAGCTACTTGCAAATAGTCATGGTAAAGCTAATTTTAAGAAGTTAAAAAGCTTCAGGAAACTAGACAATAAGTCGGTGCTGAGGAAAGGAGGGTGGCTGGCTATAAAAGTGCAGTATAATAATAATAATATTATTATTATTATTATTATTATTATTATTATTAATAATACCCCGCCCATCTGGCTGGATTTCCCCAGACACTCTTGGATGGCTTCCAACTGAATATTAAAAACAATACAGAACTGGAAGAGCCATTTGTAAGGTGCAAGGAAGGAATCCCTGAAATGCAGTATTCTTAGCTGGGGTGGAAGATTCTGTAATACGTAGTCACTGGTATGTGGTGTGGAACGTGTGTTGTGTTTAAATGCTGAAAGGTAAAGGCTGTTGACTGCAGGGCTTCTGGTTTTGAGTTATGCATCATAAGCATTTGTATGGTAAAGCTGGAGTTCTGGAACCACTGCTTTCTAAGCTTTAAGGGGCAGGTTGAATATAGTTTGCAGAGTTTGTTGTGGGAAGCTGGACCCTTTAAATAGTTTACTCACCTGGAGCTCTCACTGAAGGAAAATTAATCCTTGTCTGAGTGGAAGTTGGAAGCTCTGTGGGTTGGATCCAGGCATCTTCCTCTGTAAACATAATTCCTTGTGTTTTTGGACAGGACTCTGATGTAGACTCTTTTGGAGGCAGAGTGAGGCAGGGTGTGTCCATTTTAGCCAATTTCCTCTTGTACCACTTCCAATACTGGAGTGTAGGGTCTCCCAAACCTGCATAGAAGATATTTGGAGAGATGCACAAAGGGAAGGGAGAATGGGCAAAAGTTGCTTCTCGCCTCCCGCCTTGTGGAATTAGTAAGATTCCACTCAATGTAACTCCAGATCTTGTCCTGTGCATTGGGGGTTTGTGTTCATAAAGCCTATATGTTAACTGGTTCATCTGTACAAGAGAGTGGTGTCCCTTCCTTTTTTGTTCTCTGTCTTTGACAGATTTTTCACACCCCAGCTCTATTAATCTTGCTAAGTTAAATATTGTTGAATTGCAGATTTAGTTGTGGTGAATACAGTGCCTTTGACTAGGGCCCTAAGCTTTTAGGAGGCACTTCTAATGAACCAAAATAAGAATAATATTTACTTGTTTAATTTATCTTCATCACCTTAAAGGGATCTATGTCATTTGCAGTGGAGGTCACTGCTCTCCCTCCCCCATTCTCTTCTAAATTGTAATAATAAATAATGAGTTTCATTCAAAGCTCCCCGCCAGCGAGCTGCTAATTACCCAAAGTACGGCTTGTAATTTACACAGTAATAAACCGTAAATTTAAACATTACGGCACTTTAAGTTAATAATTTCTCTACTGTAACAAATAGCCTATCTTTCACCCCTGCTGCTGCTTCCCCACAAACCTTGCATGTGATAGTGTTCAGAGTTCCTGGCCATAAGCTACCCATTGATGATCAGATCCTGATCCCAATCTCCTGGCAATTTGTTCTGTGTCGCAAGCAACCTCATGCACAGAACTGTGAGTATATGCAACTACAGGACACTGAGCTGAGTTTCTGAAAGCTATTTTATCGACTAAGAACATACCATTACCCTCTCTGTCTTGGGTACCTTTGCTTTTATTCATGTGAAATAATAAGTCTGGGGGTACCAGAAATGACTGCAAGCTGTCTCATGTGATTAATCACTTGTGAGGGATGGGTAATGTTTCAGATCGGAGGGCTGATCTTGGATGAGTGACCACATTTCTTATATTCTAATCCAGTCCTAGGTGTTTGTTGTTTTACATGCACAAACAAGAGCAGACTAATCAGTTTTTATATGGGACTTGCTCATTTACTCAAGATTGTTAAGTAGTTCTGGTTAACACAGGTAGAACATGATGTGACATATATACACTTTAAAAAAAAACCCCACATGCAGCACCACTGAAACACTTCAGCATCTGTTGACCCTAATGAACTGGAGCAGAAAATAAGTGAATTAAGACTCTTGTGGCTTTAGGTCAGAGCTTTTAAATAACCAAGAGCAAAGCGGGTGGTCTTAAACATTCCTTTCCTACTTCCCTAAACAGAGCAGAAAAAATGCAAGCCAATGAAAGAAACACAGAAGGAACTTGAAGCAAGAGGAAATAAAATCCTCCTCACTTTCTGCACAATAACTTTAATAGGGATAGTGAATGTATGAAACTTTAACATCTTCATGTGAATGTTTGAGATTTTATTTAGGAGTAAAATTTCCTGTTCTTAAATCACTCCCAGCAATATTCAGACTGAATCCATCTTGTTCTTGAGACATTGACCATACTGCGACTTCTAGCTATATGCTTATTGGACAGTTCAGTAATATTTTGGCCCTTCTGGATAACCATGTCATAGGAAACAGAGAGACAGTGTTAGTTCTATGCGGTGTAGGAAACATGAATTTCCATTACATTTTTCTCTTATCAGCATGAAGGTTAATAATAATAATAATAATAATAATAATACTACTAATAATTTATTATTTATACACCAGCCATCTAGCTGTGTTTCTGGGCGGCTTCCAACAAAATACTAAAAATACATTAAAACATCAGTCGTTAAAAACTTCCCTAAACTGCCTTCAGATGCCTTGTTGCAAGGCTGCTGGAGTCACACTTCTTGATTGCTCAGAGGGTAATGCATTGATTCTGACCCCATGTGAACAAGAATGCGCTGTCTTATGAGTGTGTCATGTGTGTCTGTGCTGCCTGATTTTTGGAGGGAGAGTGCCTGAGGCTCATATTGCATGTGATAGCAGCAGACCTGTTTGTTTAAGCCTGAGTCTGCCCCAATCACACATAGAAATGGAGACAGGAGACCCAGTTTTAAGAGCGTATGGGGCACATCGGTGAGAGGAACCAAGCCTGCCTTTCTGCTGCAGCTTACCTTCCTGAAGTCCCTCTCAGCAGGTTCTCTTCGGTATCCAACCCTGACAGTCCAGGTAACATACTATAGGGAATTAGCTGGGGGAGGGTTTAGCTCCCAATACCTGTGTGCCCCTCTTCTCTTAAAATCTGCCTTTCACTGCATCCTTTTTAAAACCCAGTTGAGGCAGGCCCAGATTTAAATAAATAGGCCATCCATTGTCATCTGCCATTGTAGCCTCAGCCCTCCCCCCTGTCACTTTGTGTTTCAGGAGACCATCATGAGTGCTATGGGCACTGAGAGGATTAGCCACATCATTGGTGATTCCTGCCAAAAAGAGTAAGCACCTGAATGCTGCTGACAGGTCTATAAGTCGGGGGAGGGGGAGGCTCATAATACAGAATTTGTCCCTTCTCAACTTGCAGAGAGGATCCTCCCATTTTATTAGAAAGCCATCTCTTAAAGAAGGGGTGATGTGCTTGCCTTTCTGTATTCCTGTTGCATTTCCTATCCTTTTCCCACTGTTCTAAAAAAAAAAAAAGCCAGTGCAATGCTCCTGTCAATGTAATCATCTTCCTCATTCTTGCACTATGTGAAATGGCAAAAGGCACAAGAACCCAGCATAGACTAATAAAAGAAACTTCAGTATTAGAAGTACCTGAGCTGCTGGGCTATGGTAGGGAGGGTACCCAAGGTAGTCACCAGCTTCTGCTACTAATGAATGATCTACATTTCTGAATTAGTATATCCTCTTGGACATCACAGATGTGGGTGGGTGGATGAGCATGCCTGAAATTTCCCTTTTATTTATGGGGTGCTGGTTTCCCTACTCTTTGCTGTTAATTTAAGTGTGGCATCCATTGGATTGAGTTTCTCTCATCCATTGATACCCAGATTAATTCCCCTTGCCTTAAACCTGTCTTTAATGCATCTGTCTTACATGGATGTTTAATCCTCTTCTTTTCTTCTCTGTGCATCTGTTTCCCCTTCCTTTTTTTCAATTCTTTTCTCATGCTTCCTCCAATTTCGTCTCTTCTACCATCTCTCTAGTTTCTGGTTGCCGTCAATGGGAATGAGAGATCGCAACCAGGTAAGATGGCTGTACTTTGCTTCTCTTGTATATTCTTACTTGATTTCTGTCTCTAGAAAGAATGAAGTCGTGGCCTCCAATTTCTTCCACGTTTACAGCCTGTGTGCAAGAAGTAAGGCCGAAAGACCTTCCTTTGGTCATACACTGTATGCTGGAAGACCTTACTTCACAATGACTCCTTGTATCAAACAGCGCCCTAGGGCCTAAAACTTTGGCCTTCTCCTACATTTCCCCTCTTTCTAGCTGCCTTTCCATCTAGCTTTCTGATTATTTAAAGCATTTTTGGGGTGCATTTTTCTATCGGTTCATCTTGAATCACCAATAAAGTGTAGTGGTTAGAGCATCAGACTAGGACCTGAGAATCCATGGTTCAAATCCCCTCTTGGCCTTTGGCTCAGCTGGTGATTTTTAGGCTGAGAAATACTGACTGACCCGACCTATTTCACAGGGTTATTGTGAGGATGAAATGAGGAGAGGGAGAAACATGTGCCACCTTGAGCTCCTTGAAGGAGAGGTGGGATGTAAATGTAAGAATAAATAAATTATAAATTTTCATGTGATTTTCCAGAACATAGTGTCTTCTCCCTCTGCCCCTTTTAATTTTTTGTTCATTATCAATAACAACAGCATTCTCTCCCTGTCTTCAAAAGAAGTCTTACTGCATTTGATAGTTGCTTTAACTTGGTTATTTAGTCATGCTGGTACTTTCTTAGCTCTGCTGGTAAGACAGAGAGAAAGCTGGTAATTCCAAGTATATTTAGAGATGGTTTTTCTATGTTCTGGTTCCCACTGCTAATAGGGAGAGCCACTGAATATTTACACTTCAGTTCTCCCAATTAAATTTGCAGCCTCAACTAACTTACACCAGTATAAAGGTTAATGGACTAACTCCTGAATGTACAGAGTTGTTGTTAGTTCAGTTACAATTTAATCAATTAGATGAGGTCTGTGTTCCTCATTTGATAGTAAAAAATATATATCTTAATAAGCTCAAAAGTGTAGTATAAAAATCTGCAGTGACATACTTCATTTTGAACTCATAATCCATCTGAAAGTGAATCTGATTACAGTATGCCCAAACGTTTTCCAACCAGCTGTTCACATTATTTTGAAGTTCCTTGGGTTTTATAGTGAGCTTCCAGCAACTGGATAACTTATATGTTTATATTGTTCAAAATTAAAGTAAGAGGGTATCTATTTTTAAAGGAAATAGTGCTTTTTTGCAGTACCCAGTCAATCTAGCAATTTGAATTTCTTTGAAGTTTGGTTGGGAGCAAGTGGTAAGAGGCACTACAGTTGTTTAGAAGGTTGGAATTTGCAGACTTCGATAGAGATAGTTGATAGGGTAAAAACTGACATCTTGCAATGCTGTAGTTTATTGGCGCTTTTCCTTACTATTTATTTAAGTTCTCTGTGATTGAAGATTGAACTGATCCAGCTGTTTAGCAGGGCCTTTCTGAGACTACACTACAACAGACAGGTTGATGGGGAGTTGCATGTTAAAGTCCTCTCATGCACATGGGAGGAAGCCATTGAGGTCAGCTGTATCATTGACATGTTAGTTTTGCACATGCAGGAAGAATGTCTGTAGGCATCCAACTGTTTAATTCACTCCTTCTGGACCACATGGACTATATCATATGTTCTGTTAATGTTTGAATAGTGTTTAGGTTTTTTTTTTTAAAGAACCTCAAGTGTTGCTCCCTTGCCTTCCAGAAGAAAATATTTCTCATTGTGGTAAAAGTTTTGTTCTTTTTCTGGAGAAATAAATGCAGTATGCTGTGATCATTAGTACTGGTGAAGCTGATTGCTTCAGTTGCTCACATCTCTGTAAAGAACAATTTGTTTCTGCAGTTGAGTTTTGCAAATGATCTTCTTGTGATGCTAAAGTGGCATCTATGCTGGTGGTTCTCAAGTTGACTATGATCAAAGAAACATCTCGCAGTGAAGGTGGATGTCGATCTCCTTTGTACACAGCTCTGTACAAATGAAAACAGACTTAATTGGTAGAGGTTTTCTTTCTTACGTGAGAGTGGAGAAAGGTGTTGCCTTCTCAACTAGGTGTGTTCGAAGTCTATTTGGTTTTCTCCTCCAGATGAGTGAGCAGTGTGGCCTGGGGTCAGAAATTGGCCTGCCGCTACATATGGAATGTAAGACTCCAGATAATGTGAGAGACTGGGTAAGGATAGTTCAACTGTCTGTATTCAGTTAATGTTACTAACCAGTGTTGTTAACCAATTCTCTCTTGTCTTTCCAGTTCAATCCACTATCTCCTCTCTATTCTTTGGATGTTCTTGCTGATGCTTCTCACCGAAGGTGCTCACCAGCACACTGCACAGCCAGGTAACCATCACCTTCTGCTTTCATTGTGAGGAATGGTATGGTATCTCTTGGTTTGTGGAGTATGCATGTCAGAAACAAATTGCATAGGTGACTTCCTTTTCTACTTCCTTTTCTACTTCTTTGGGTTAAAACATTTTTATCCTGCTTTTCCTCAAGAGTCCAAGGCAGCAAACTAAATGAGAGATTTACAACAACCACAGAACTGCGCTGCAGCATAAAACAAATACCATTAAAAATACCCATTAAAATGATAATACTCTGTTGGTTTCTGTATTGAATTTGAATTGATTTTATGTATATGTTGTTAGTGTTACATGTGAACTGGGCCAATGAATTTGGATGACTGATACCTGGACAAGGAGCAGACTTTGTGTTGTGCATTAGAAAGCTCAATATAATAGCGAGGGAATAATTGAATAGGGAGGTTAAAGAAATTTTAAATGTGAGGAATGGCTCTATCCATTATTCAATTTAGCCTGGGAGTCTGAAGAAAATGCTAACTAAAAGTAGAAAATGTAAAAATCCAAAATAGCCACTTCAAATTATTGTCACGGGAGCGGACAACATATATTATATGAAGGATATTTTATTATTTAATCTGGTGCCTCAGTGAAGGGATATGTGAGATTAGGAAGAAATTTTCATTTGAGATCTTTGAAGCTTTCTCTCTTGTTCTATAGTTCTGGCAGAATGTCATGACTGGTGATGAAATGTTAAGTGGAGTGGACTTGTGCTAGAGCAGGCATATCCAGCTCCCAAGAGACTGTGATCTACTCCCAGTATAAAAAACTGGCAGTGATCTACCCATTGTCATTGGAGGGAGGAGGAGCATGCATGGGGTGAGTGGATTGCCCAGAATTGCTGAGCTTTTTTTAGGAGGAAAGTGCCCAGAGTTGCTGAGCTTTTTTTGGAGGATTGCACAGAGGTTTTTTTAGCTTTCCCCACATAACTTTTTGTACACGATAAGGATCCCGTGATCTACCAGGATCAGCTGGGGATCTACCAGTAGATTACAACCTACTGGTTGGACATCCCTGTGCTAGAGGGTCAAGAAGGTTTCATTTGCATTGCTAAAATGGAAAGATTCAGTATTATTTAACAACCCAGACTTGGGTGGGCAAATTCTACTCTAATATGTAGCTTGTCTTGTCCTTTTTGAGCCATTTGTAATGTTTATTAAACCTATTGTTTCAGTACCTTGTTCACTTTTTTGTCATTTGGCACACATACTCTGTAGAGGTGTGTGGTTGGAAGTACCTTACCTTATGGCAGGAACTTGCTTAGATAACCTTAATGTTCTCTGCAGCTTTTATCCTGTTATGATGATGAAAGCCAGTAGCTTAAACTTGGATGAGCCTTGAGCTCAGCTTGTAAATAGCTATTTGTCAAGTTTCTGGTAGTGAATTTAATCTGATTCCAAGTGATGTTTTTAAGCTTTAGGTCAGGCATAGGCAAACTCGGCCCTCCAGATGTTTTGGGACTACAGCTCCCATCATCCCTGACCACTGGGATGGGAGTTGTAGTCCCAAAATATCTGGAGGGCCGAGTTTGCCTATGCTTGCTTTAGGTCTTACTTTGTATTTCTGATGACGGACATCTGTGTATATATACAGTTAGGTGAGCAAGTAAACATGTTTTGGGGCTTGTAACTTATGAGTGGGCCCTGCTAATGGGTGGGAATCAATTACCGGTAGTCCCATCAGTGGAGGACCTGCATAAGGAACTCCCCTTTCCAAAATTGGCTTGTGAGGTGTGGTCAGTCTGGAGAACCCCTGGAATAGCATTCAGGGGAAGGAGTGGGGGAATTGTTCCTTCAGGCAAGCTGAAATGACAGCTGATCAGCTTAGCACAAGGTGAATTCCTCCCATAATTTCCAAGCTTATTGAGGCTGTATTACTTAAGAGAGATAATATTCTGGCATGTAGCAGAAAGAAAAGCATCCTTCAAAAAGTGCAGCACCTTGGGCCATAGTTGCCCATACTAGCTCTATGCCATGTAAATTATTTCCCTACTGCTCAAACTGCCAGTTCTTATAAGCACTGTCTGCCTCCGGAAAGCCTTTCACAAATGTATTATGCAATTGGAAGCACTGTTATCAGGCAAATTCTGTTTTTTTCACCTGTCTGCCTTAACCTATGTTTTCTTTACCTCCCTAGTGGTTTCCGGTGAAATTCATCTAGGTAGCATAGTCACTGTCTTGTAACCCATTGCTTCATTTAAACAGAGCCGCCAGCCAGATTGCTGAGTGTAGAGCCATGGGTGTGCGAGGAGCAGCTTTTTGGTGTCAAGGAGAAGGCTCTGCATGGAGGGTTCCTTGGAAGATGCAGTTAAAAGGCTGTATAAATTGTAGTATACCAAGACTTTCTTTTCAGCTGTCTGTCTGTGATGTGGTGAGACTTCTCTCAAAGTGTCAGAAGCAGCACTGGGAATTCCACACCCATCATTAGAAGTGGTGTGGGAGGGGGGGTGGGTTTGGTGACTCTTATCATTAGTAGTATAATTTTATTTTGCAAAGCGACGAGAGTCGTCCCCCCTCCCCCGCTTTCCCTCCCTTTTTGCCATCCTCCTTGGGGATAGTTGGTGTATTAATTTGCTGTATTGCCTCCTGGCTGTTCCCAGGCTGTTTTGATTCTTCATCATGGAATTTTAATGGCCTGCCGCTTCTTGGGAGGCATGTGAGAGAGCGCATCTCAGGGACCGCTTTCCTTCTTTTCACATGCCTGTAATTGCGGCTCTTTAAGAGCACAAAGCATTTACTAATCATGCCATGTCTCTTGTAGCTTCTGTTTGACAATGCACTTTTTAAAAGTGGAAAGCATGAAGAAGTTGGCATTGAGAATATGTTCCTCAGTACCAGTGTGAATTGCATTGAGGTAGCAGGTTGAACTTACTGCTTTCCATGTATCTAGGTGGCAGAATAAAGGTTCCCTGTCTTCACTTTCCTTGGAAATGCTTAGAGCAGGAAGCCTTTTTTAGCCTGGGCAAGTTTCTGGGGCCACATTCCAGTGGTACGTGGGGCAGATGTGCACATTAGTTATATATTGCCCATACAAAAGTTGGCAGTTAAAATTCTCCATCCAGGCAAGCAAAAGGCATTGCCAGAGGTCAAAGACATCTCAGCCAGGCAAAAGCACAGAGCATGGCCAGTGATGTCAGGGGAGTCCCAAGGGTTGGTTAGATGACTGGGGAGGGGTCACACTGGGCGCCTGGGCTTGAGCTTCCTCGTTCCTGGCTTAGGGCATTCATTGGCTTAGTGGTTGGCTAGTTGGCCATTTCTTAGTATAGCTCAAGATTTCCTAAGCAGAGCCAAGCCTCCCAATTCTTTCCACTGGTTAAGACCAGGTCTTATTAAGAGTCTGGTCTCAGTATGAGATCTGCCAAGTTCAAGTTGAGACAGGATTAATATGTGGCCCATGTCGCCAGAGGAAATATAACCCATGAAGAGTGCTAAAGCAGAGCCCATACTGTGGCGGCCACAGATGAAAATCTCACTGCAGCATGATATACAATCAACCTATATTATGAAACCCACATTCAGAGTTGCAAACAGTGGTAATGCATTAGGTGCCTTTCTGAACCCTTGGAAAACATTTTTCTCGTCCTGGGTCACCATCTTTCTGGTAGGTGCTTGTAAATGTAGTTTAAGGAGGAACACCAAGTAGACAACCAAACCATCTCTTTATCTGTGTCTGCTGTGCTGCCAAATGCAGGTGCTGCATCATCATAGGTAGCTCCATATTGGGAGTGTGTGTGTGTGTGTGTGTGTGTGTGTGTGTGTGTGTGTATTAATCACTGATGGGTGCTAGTGGCCAGCATAATGGAAAAGAAATACAGAGACCTCTGTTGAAAGTTGCTCGTGAATATTGTGAAGATGTGTGGCAATGGTTCCATGCTGTTGTTTTGTTATAAACACATCTGATGCTGACTGTTGGAGAAGAGGGTGGAGATAATCTCCCTAGGGCTACATTTTGGATAGGCCAGTCTGGTTGCCAGTCTCTCTAGTACATGTGTAGGGAATTTTTTTTTGATGAATTGCTTATCATTTGTTACCAGGACACTTTTCTGTGCTGTGCAATGGGTTAATCCTTGCATGCAAAGATGTTGTGTTCACTGGATGGGATGAGCAACTTGTAGTGATTTCTACCTATGATGTGCAGATCAGAATTGGGTGCCCAGCTGGCTGGTGGTGTTTCAAAGAGGAGAAGGATCTCTGTTCTCACTATTAATTTTGACCTTTGAAGGCATCAGAAATAGCCCCAGGTGGTACCTCAAGGCTTAGAAAAAGCACCTTTTATGCATCTGGTATTTGCAGTGGAAACTGTAAGTACAACTGCAACAGCTGAGCTGAATACTGTCACAGTAGCAATACCCTTGATAGGAAGTGTGTTCTACTGAATGTTTCCTTCTGCATGAGGATAGCCGAACTAATTATTTTCAAGGCGATCAGTTAATAAGCACATTTCCTTCCTTGCATTGGTACAATCCATATATTTTGCTTTCTAAAACGGGGAAAATACAAGAGTCTTCAACTGTATTATTTTTCACCTGAAACACTTTTCTGTTCCAAAGGGAATGCTTTGTATGGCTGTCTCTCAGAAGGTCAATTGCAATTAAATGTACATTTCAAGAAGGGTGCTTGTTTAATGTACAGTAATACCTCCATGAACGTCTGTCCTGTCGACCGTCCATTTTGGCAAACGTCCACTGTAAACCCGGAAGTACCGGAACAGGTTACTTCTGGGTTTGCCGCTCGCGCATGCACAGAAGTGCTAAATTGCGCTTCACACATGCGCAGAGCAGCGCTTTGTCGAGCATCCCTTTCGTGGAGCGTCCGGGGCTCCGGAATGGATCCTGAACTCAAAACAAGGTACCACTGTAGAGGGTTCCTTGAGATGCCTAATTCCATCTTGTTTGCATTATGCATAGGGGAAAACAAGGCTCACTTTTCTGGGGGAGTGGAGGGAGCTCTATTGCCAGCCTAAATATGATGATTCTAGTGTTCCAACCTAATGCATATTAGACAAGAGAGTAAAACTTCACCTGCAGTTGGGAGTTTCCACCTCTGCAGATCAACCTTAAGATCTGTGTATGGTGTCCTGCTTTATGTGCCTGCCAGTGAAATCAGTGAGGTTGGTGAGTGCATGAAGCAAGCCCTTCTTGTTATTTATTTTATAAAAAATAAACAAAGGGACTGTCAGGATGGTGTTTGTTGCCTTAATTTTTTAATCATTATACTTTATTTCTTCCTTTTTAGGCAGACCAATATACATCTCGGACCCCCATGTTCAAGGGACATAAAGAGAAAGAGGAAGCCTGTAATGGCAACAGCCTCCCTTTCCAGCCCAACTTCAGGTAAATTGGCTAAACCTCAGTATAAATGGTTAATGAATTAGGGGGCTACTGTTTTGAAGGAGCAGGAAAACATCTGAATTTTAAGAAAGACCTGCCCTTTCAGCTGTTCCCCTGTGAGATACGGAGGCTTCCCAGGGCAAGGTTGTATCACTTGCATTGCACAAATGCCACATTTAGTATTGGATGCAGAAAGTTCATTTTCTACTCCTTGTGACTGTGGCAGTCAGTTGGATAATGCCTGATGAATAATCAAAAGGCAGCTTTTCTGCAGTTTGCTTGCTGTTAAAAAGTTCAGTAAAAAATATTTAGAAAATAATAATCAAAAGGCAGTGAGGGCACTCAGCTCCTGGTGGCCAGGAATAGGGCTTCATAATATTTCCTTGCTCTTCTGCCTTCTGTGACTAGCAGGGGCAGAATTGGTCATGCAACCAAGTATATGCATGTTAATTTAGCTCATGTAATTTAGTTTGCAGAACTTGGCCTTCCTTTGCACATTAACATCACTTTTTTAAAAAAAAGCACAGAGTTTACCCCAGCCTTTTCCAACCTAGTGACCTGCGGCTGTGCCGCCTAAAGTTGATGGGAATTGTAGTCCAAACTATCTGGAGGCCAGCAGTTGCAAAGTCTGGTTGACACAGTCCAACTACTAGTAGTGAAGTGTTTGGAAAGCTTAAAGGAAATAGGACATGGAGGCTGGCTTCTCCCTTGTGCCAATCTCTTGGTACTTTGCCTAAAGAGCATCTTACTCTTTGAGAGAAACTGTTTTGTGCTTTGAGAGTATGCTTTATTTTCTTAAAGCAGAAGAAACAACATTTCTGCATGAGAGAGGAGTATGCTGGTATCCCAAGAAAATTTAGGTTATTGGATTAAAGGTCACCCACACATAAAAATAATCCAATATAATAATAATAATAATAATAATAATAATAATAATAATAATAATAATATACCACCCTTCATCCAAAGATCACAGGGCTGTTCACAACTTAAAAATACAAAATGAGAACACAAAATACATAATAAAACAAAAGCAAACCAATAACTCCCCCCTCCCTAAACACATTTAAAAGGCCATAGAGTATTCATCAGTGAAAGGCCTGGTTATAGAGAAATATCTTCGCCTGGCTCCTAAAGAAAAAGCATTAATTTTAACAAAAAAGGTGAACTCCCATTGATTAGCAAATGCTTGGACAGAATGAGGTAACAAGTAATCTACTAATAAGGATTAATTAAATAGAACCAGCTCCTTGGTTTGCCAGCACTGGTGCCTTCTTCATTGCCAATCTTAATGTTTTTCCCCTATATCCTTTGCCCCTTGATGTTTCCGGTCTCTACACAGCTTTGTGTGTGTTCTGTTCAAGCATGCTTCCTCCACTCTAAATGCATATGCAGGCAGATCTACTACCCTTGTACTACTCCTACAGGCTCTAGTAACAAAATAAAATGTTGGTGTGGGTGGTAGTAGTAATCTTGCAATGCATATCTACCATAGGGCTGGCCCTACAATTAGCTACAGTGAGGTGACTGCCTCAGGCAGCAGATGATGCAGGTGTGTATGTAGAGAGGTGACAAACTGTTGAAACACAAAGCTGCATGTGCACCTTGTGTCCTGACACAAGCAGAATGTCTGCTCATGGATCTCTCTGCATATGTGAATGTGCACACAGTTCTTAAAGAATAGCAAAGAGGAGGAGCAGTCAGTGAGGCAGTGAGTGGAATGAGAAGAGTATTGCTAAACATTTGTCCATAGCAGTTGTCTCAGGAAGGTTTTATGGATCCTGTCTTGCACTAAGAAACCTGAAGTGCGGTGATAGTTGGAATAAATGCAGGGTTAGATAGCGACTGCTGTATTTCTTGGAACAAATTACGTACAAATTATCTGGAGCAGACAACTATTACAATATTAAATATTCCTTCTGTGTTGTGGTTCCTTTTTGTGAAAATTCATTCTCTCTGAGAAGGCAAAAAAGGTAGCCCCTGGTATGCTCTAATGCTATCTGTCTCAATTTCTCTAGCAACTTTTTTACTTTTCCAGGTCTCTTTTAATATAGGGGTCCTTAATTTTATATGGACTTACTAGCCAGCCATATATTGTGGTTGCACTCGCTGAAGTTCTCTCTGTGTGCTAGAGAACTCTGAATTTGTGTTGCATGTTGTGCTGAGCTTTGGAGCAGGCAGAAGCGCTGCAAACTGATTTTGTCTTTTCCGAAGCTCAGCACAGCCAAACCCCTGTGCACCAGCATCAGGGTAGGTAGCGTTAAGAAGGGACCACACTGAGGGCCAAAGACAGCCATAGGCAAACTCGGCCCTCCAGATGTTTTGGGACTACAACTCCCATCATCCTTAGCTAGCAGGACCAGTGGTCAGGGATGATGGGAATTGTAGTCCCAAAACACCTGGAGGGCTGAGTGTGCCTGTGCCTGGCAAAAGACATGGCCTCAGGCAAGCTGGCAAGTGGCTTGAATTAGATTGATGGTTTTATCGTGCCTTTTTTCAGTCCCAAGGACGTACAAAGTATGAACAATACACTGTTATCACAAGACAAAACAATTTGAAACCAGGTTTGTGCACTGGATGCAACTGGATCCTGAACTGAATTAGATCGATTTGGGGCAACCTGGGATTTAGCTAGATTGGGTTGAGGCATCGCTGGATCACCCCAGGTCAGCTCAGATCCATCCAGAGCAACCCAGGGCTTTCAGATGGAGGACATTGTCGCAGTGTAGGGTGGAGAGAAAGAGACATACAGGCTGCCTGTGTGTATCTCTTCCCCCCAGCCAGCATGGTTAATGGTTGCATACGATGGGAGTTTGAGCCCAACAGTGTGTGGAGGATCACAGATTGGCCACCTCTATTTATAGTCAGCTGAGCTAGAAATGGCCCTCTCCTTTATTAGAAAAGAACGTGAGGGGAGAGATGAGAGCCAGTATTCCAAGGAAGCAAGATATGTTTCCGTGTTTTTGTGTGATACATGGGGCATGCACATCTCTGGCCAAAGGATTCTTCTCCCCCTGGCATGCTTTCAATCAGCACTGACTTGGACATTTCCTCTCTGACTAGCTTGTTGGACTCAGTTTTCTTTCACTGTAGCTCTAGCTTCACGTGACGACTTCTTGTGTTGGCAGTGAAAGATTGGTGTGAGTCACCATTCAGGCCCAGGCCTGAGAACGAGGGGGGTTGTACAAGCAAGGATGCCCCATTTGGACTAGACAGTGCCTCCAAAACAGATCTCTGGCTGAGCCCAACAGCTCTCATCTCACTTGTTGACCAGGTCCTGTTTCAGTGAGCTCCTTTTATGCAACCCGTGTGCCCCAGAGAGGTGAAGGACACAGCCTGAGCTGGCTCCATCAGTCAGCAGAACAAATGGGCTTGCTCTGCCTAACATCGGGCCATCTCGGATTCCACCTCTTTTATAGAGATGAGTGATGAAGAGAGGCTCGTTCCGCTTTGCTGCTGTATTAATACACATCAGGGGCCAGCTCCCGGCACTAAATCACGCTACTGCATACATCTGTTATCGGACTCCTCACCACCGTGATGAACAAGACTGCAGATAGAGGCTTCCTCATGTCATTCTTTATAGGATTTTCCTAAAAGAATAAATAGCTCAAATCTCTGCCAACACTCTCCCCTGTCATTGTGATGAATTTAGCTTCTTTCTTAAACATGCAGCAACAAATCTTCCTTTGTCGTAGACCCCTCCCCCTCCCCACCTCCAGAAAGTTTTGTTGAATTTGACTGAATTTAGATGATGATAGTCAGGCCACTTAAGATGCATCCAGTGGTGGCAACGGAAGCTGCAATCTGGAGGGTTGTTTTTTCTTTTAACCTAATATATATTTAATGGCACCCGTACAAGGTCTTACTCTGGGTGAATCTGTAACTACAATTCCTTGGCAATCCCTAAGAAACGGTTCACACATGAGAACCCTATGTGACCACCTCACGCTTCTAGAGCAGCTGCCATCCTAAAAATGGGGTTACCACTGTTGCCACTCCACCATGGAGACCCTAAGTCACACTTGCACAAGGGCTTTTGCAGTTCCACATGCTCCTGGGGCAGTTGTGTGTGTGGGTCAGATGCCACAAATAGTCCTCAATTGAAAGTATGGTAACGTTCTACCTACTCTATTGCTGGGCAGTGGTTGAGGCCTAGGATATTACGCAGGCTTAATAGGGTATTATAGCAGGCTTAATAGAATTTGACTCTTAACTAGACTTGGAGACCGCCCCGCCCCCTCAAAATACCTCCCAAATCTACCTGAGAAACAGTTTTATGTTCCCTTGTTTTAGGCATGTCTCATTGTCTCACAGTTCCCCATAGCTTTTAAGAATGTGGGCTTCATTTGGACCCTCTTACAGCTGGGCTTCCATTTGCTCATGGTCCAGCTGTCTTCAAGGAGGAGGTGGTTTCATTAGTGGCCTTTTAGGCAATGTATTCTTGCTCAATTTATTTCAGTCACTTCAGTGGGACGAATAAAAGGATTGCTAGTTTTCTTTCCACCGCTTTCCTGCAGCATGGGTAGTCTTCAAGGTGTGCTCAAGCTGCTTCAGTGACAATCAAGTGAATGTCATTCATTTTCTTTTGTGCAAGGCTGGTTTCTCCTTTAGCAGGAGAGTTTGGCTGCATTTCTGGCGAGTTTAAAATGGTGCTTAGACAGGTTCCCACCTTTATCCCTAAAGTTGTTGCTTCACTTTTTCCACAAGGAAAATGCATTATTTCTTTCTGCCAACTGCATATTTGTGGCAGATCATGTATTCTTTGAAACATGGGTCTTTAGAAGCAGAATAAAGAATCAAAAGCAAGCAAGCAGGTGCCAGTTTGTCCAAGCCTGATCACAGAATTTTGGCTGTTTGGGCAGAGAATTCAAATTTCCATTTGATGCAGAATAAACACAAACACAGAGCAGGGACTATTTATTTGGTCAGGTCACTTCTACAGCTAAGAGCAGAGGTGAGTATCTGGATGTTGCTGGACTACAATTCCCATCATCCCCGACCAATGGCTATGCTGACTGGGACTCATGTGAGCTGTAGTCCAACAACATCAGGAGAGCCATGGGTTCCCCATTCCTGGGTTAGAGCAAAAGAAAGTCTTAACTGCTGGGAGCTCTCTAGTGCTGAAACCAGGAATGGTTTTCAGAAGCTCTGGAGTTATCCATATCATGCTTTAAATTGGCACTGTTCTCCCTTTCTGCCCACGCCCATGGCACCCTGCAGTCTGCATAAAGAGAAGGGTGCATTGATGATGTTTTTGTGTTTTTATTGTGACTGACTGCCCCTTCCCTCCTCAGCAGCACGCTGGCTATGAGCAGGGCATTTATTGGCAGAGGGTGTAGCTTTCTACATAGCGTTTTGAAATGCAAATAATGAACAAATGAAACAATGCTTGGAATCTACATAGTATTCTAGTCTTTTAGAGCTCTGTAAACCTGGCTGAAAGTAAACGAATAGGATAGGCAGTCATGGCAGTGGAAGCATACGGTGGGGCTTGGCACCTAACATTTGATGTGCAAATTGTACCTTGCTTTGATGTTCCTGTTCATTGTATTTCTCTTCCTTTTTTATTGTGATGTCCCAGCAGCTTTATCCATCCACATAGATACTTCAGACCCAGGCCCGCCTGTGCCACACTCCCAGAGGCACCAGAACTGACTGAACAGGCAGAAGCCATTCGTCAGAGACGAGCTGCAGCGCTACTACCCCAGGCAGCTTTCTAAGAAAATGCCACAGGAGATGGTCCTTGACTGCACTAGATGGAGGCAGCTCTTCCTTTGTCAACTAGTTGGGCTTTTTAATATGTTGGACTTTGGAGTACGTCAGAATTTTCCTTCCGGCAATAGCTATCTCTTCAGTGTTAGCATGTGACACACACCTCTGTCAGCATGATATGTTTACCCCACTCATCCTGCAAATCATGTTTGTAAATCTATATAAAAACGCATAATCAGTGTTGGGGGTTTCCATATTTCCAGTGTTCCTGCTATTGCTATGCAAGTATTTGTCGCACACTCTCCTTTCTAGCCCCAGAAGCTGCTTGGTGGCATATGCAAAATGGTATTTGGTTATTGCAGGCACCTGTCTTCGTTGCAAAGCTCTTCATTTCTCAGACACATCTCAGTTGTTAGCAGAGTCCTGTGTTTAATAGAAGAAATTCTATTTGCAGTTCTTTGGGGAAGCTGAGCCTGTGTCTTTTGTAAGCATAAGACCCCAAAAGAAGCCAGCAGTGATCCCTGAGCTAGAGTGGAGGTTAACAGAGGATAAACTGTTCTATCTGAACAGGGTGACTTGAATTTTACATTGGGAACATTTCCAAAAGCAACGTGTTGGTCAGTATTTTGAGGTTTGCTTCCCCCCACTTTAATATAATATGTTTCAGTTTTTCCTCCTGTATCACTGGGGTATCCTAGTATTGCTTTTGAACTATGGTTCCTTCCTTGCGATCCTCTTTCCTATGTATCCTACTGCATGAGCCAGTGGAACCATAAATGCAAAAATGGAACTGTCATGTCAGTAAGCTTTCCAATATATAACCTTAAAGCGAATGACAATGAAATGGACTCTACCAACAGTAGCTTTTTCTGTTTTGGAAACTATTATAAGAATCATTTGAGACAGTAACCTGAACATAAGTTGCTATGAGAATAGCCTTTTAGATGTGTGGTTTCAAAATAGCCTTTGTGGATGACAACCACTTACTCTGTTGTCTTCAAGCTGGGATGTTTCCTGCAGTATAAAAAAGGAATCTCTCTTTTTGGCAGTATGTCCTCAGAAGCGCATACTGTGTTTTATTCTACATTTCCTGATTACAGTGTACTCACTATGATGTAGACGTGTTATATAGTAGAGAGTGGTGCCTTCTCCCAACAACTCTTTTCATTGCTATCCTTTTTCCAATATATGTGAATGAAGCTGCAAAATAGTCCCAATTCCTAGATGCCAGCATCAAAATGAGAAGTCCTGACAACCATGTTATTTTTCTAGCACTATTTACATTGGAGCACATCCTCCTCCTCTTTCGATTATTGTCTGGAGCCTCCCTTGTGGGGTTGTTTTCTCAAGATGTGCCTCGGTGCCCGTGCGCAGAGTCAACTATTATATTTTTGATTGGGTCCTGTTGGCTTGAACGTATAAGGAGAGGGTGATTTATGCTTGCAGGCTTTCTGTAGGCGTTAGGTTGGCCTCTGGAAATGCTGGTCTAGATAGGCCTTTGGTCTGATCCAGCGGGGCTTTTCATACGCTCTTAAGGCCAGAGCAAATGGAATCGGGCTTGCTTCTGTGCATACAGAACCTCTTGTGAGAAGCAAATCAGTGTTGTTTCGATGTAGATGAAGGGTTAGCATGTTTCACTTATTTTTGCCTTACAACTCATAAAACGGAAAGTGTGATACAGGCACAAGAAAATGTTCTTGCTGTACAAAAATGATAGCCCTGGAGATCATTTCTGGTTGTGTTAATGAATTTGATCTGGGTTTATCAAATAATTCAGAGCAGCTCACGCATGCCTTACTAGAAGAGTCACATTAGTGATGCTTTGCCTGTGTCTGAGCCTTTTGCACCAACCATGTATCCCAGGCACAAGCTCTGATCTTCAAATGCTCTGAGTCCTAAATACTCTGAAATTGACTGAGCAAAGGAGCCTTTTAATCCTGTGTGAAGAATGCACAAGACAAGGATTTATTTGAATGGATCGGTGAAGTCTTGAGAGACCTTGGAGAGCACCACCATTATCAATACATTGCATCTGTGTTACTCATGTTACTGTCTCCTGTGCAAACTCCCATGTAAATGAATGTGAGCTACCATCTTGTTTTTTGTAGCATATCAGACACACCTATGTTGCACAATAGGCTTTAGCCTGTGTCCCAAATATCTTGTAAAGCTTTTTCTGTGTCTAGAGTACGGAATCAGTAGTTGTTGGAGCACAGGTTAAGATGGGGTTCAGATGAAAATAATCAGTAACTGAGTTGCATTAAGTGATGATGAGTTGCACCGTCACCAATTCCTTATTTTGTTTGCACTTAAAACTAGCTTTCCGCATATAACACTTGTAAAATATAACAAAAACTTGTACCTGGTTGCTTCAAGGTGTCTCAAACGTAGCCCAAACTTGCTAGTGTGTGGCTTTGTTGCTGAGCTCTGAGATTGTTATTTCCCTTAAAAGAAATAATTTGTAAGAATGTAAAATGCTTATATTGATGTGTACAGTCACTGCTATACTTAACGGGCCACATACTCAAAATAGGATGATTGTTTAGCATGTGAACCATGTAAACCGGCCCTTATGAATTCCACACAATAATTTCCACAGAATAAAGGGCAGATTCTTCTTTAAAGGAATGCATATTCTTTTAAGGAGAAGGAAGCTCAATTCTGTGACTAAAATACATTTATGCAAGTAATGCATATTGTGCCAAGTTCTGACTGCAATGTGGGATATGGATTTATTTTTAAAACAAATGTTTTACCAGGTGGAGGAGGTGGCAAGCAACAAAGTAGAAGCAACAAGAGGTTGAACAGAAAGTGTGAACAGAATCTAGAGGGCATCTGTAACAGCTGCCAAATTATTATTATTATTATTATTATTATTATTATTATTATTATTATAAAATATGATCACACAATTGTGGAACCCACAGGACCCTGTATATAAGTGTTTGAAAAATTACAACCATGTAACAAGTTAAAGGTTTTCTATATTATACTGTGGGTCCATTCAGGCATGTTCTCTAATCCAGGCATGTCCAAAGTCCATCTCGGGGGCCTAATCCGGCCGGTTTAATCCAGCCAGTGTGGCAGTTTATTTCCTGGGGTAAAATCCCCCCAAACCCTCAACTTCAATCCTAAAAAAGGTCAACAACTTTGGTTGACCCTCATGGCCCTCATGGCCCTCTTTGAAAAAAGTTTGGACACTCCTGCTCTAGTCCTTCAAATCAGTTTGTAGGATTGATGTGTACTTCAGTACAGTCATACCTCTGGTTTAAGTTGTTTCAGGTTGAGCATTTTCGGGTTGCGCTCCGCGGCGACCCAGAAGTAACAGAACGCGTTACTTCCGGGTTTTGCCGCATGCGCAGATGCTCAAAATGACCCGTTCGCATCCAGAGGTACCACTGTATTTTTTTTTATTTTAACCTGTATACTAAGCTTGTGACATGCCTTCTCCCCCCGCCCCCCAAAAAATAATGTAATCAGCTGAACATAGTTGCTCACATTTTGACAATTCATTTGGGAGATACAAGTTACTTTTAACTTATACTGTACGACAAGATCTAATAATCATAGGCTACTAATTCCCTACAACAACAGCTACATCAAAGATGAACTAGCTAATTAATTGGGGCTGGATAAATATTGTGAATGGGGACACACATCCAGATGAGCATCGCCATGAGCAATGCATGGGATAGGCTGATACTGTGTGCAGTATCTCTTGCTAGATCAGGTGCCATTTTTGTTCTTATCTAATGAAGTTTATTTCATGCACAAGGCTTCTAAACTGATGCATGTGTGGAGAACCTGGATAAAGAAGTGTTTCTCCTTCATGACACTAGAATTTGGAGGCATTCAATGAAACTTTTAGCAAATTCAGGACACTAGAGCCAGTATGGTGTAGTGGTTAAGAGTGGTGGACTTGTAATCTGGGGAACCGGGTTCACGTCTCCTCTCCTCCACATGCAGCTGCTGGGTGACCTTGGGCCAGTCACACTTCTCTGAAGTCTCTCAGCCCCACTCACCTCACAGAGTGTTTGTTGTGGGGGAGGAAGGGAAAGGAGAATGTTAGCTGTTTTGAGACTCCTTCAGGTAGTGATAAAGCCGGATATCAAATCCAAACTCTTCTTCTTCTACCCCCCCTTCCCCCCAAAAGTCTTTGTTCTGTGCAGAATTTATGAAATTTGCTGCCAAGAGTTATGATGGCCAGTAGCTTATACAGCTTTAGATGAGATTAGACAAATTCATGGAGTAAAAGTCTTTTCAATGGGTACCAGGCATGATGCTTATATGCAATTTCTGGGATCAGATGTAGTGTGCTGGTGAATATCTGTGGCTCATAAGAGTGGCTTTTCAACAGCTGCCACGTGCATGATGCTCTAAACTTGCTGCATGTATCCATATGAGCAGTCCTATATGCTCTGACTTCTGCATTGGGCTCTAGCATGCGTTGGTTTTGCTACCACAAGCAGTGTTTGCCAATGGCATGTCGATATACTGACAAGGCGAAGCAGTATCTAAAGCAGCTTGCCGCATAGGGCAGCTGCCCTGTGCATATAGCTTCACGGAGCTCACACATGGCAAGAGGAGCATCAGAAACACTCCCTAATACATTGCAGCCTGGCATTGCAGATCTAGGAGCCAAATGCACATAATAGGCTGCTTTCAGTTGTAACTGGATGTTTGCGCTTATCTTTGGCACTTTAGCATTAAACTGGGAGCAATGCTGTGAAAATCTCCATGCTGACCTATTGTATCTGTATAGTGCAAATGGGGAAGGGGCCCGCCCAGGCTGAAAATTTTGTCTAGAGTAATGGAGCTGGATGCATATCATGTTTGGGCCAAATACCATTGACAAGCCCCATGCAGAGCTACTTAGCCAGGGCCTACTTTCTGGCCTAGCCACACTGCTCTGCATGTGTAATGTTGCCAACCATTTATCTTTTCAACAACAGCTTCGTGCCTGGGAGAGGCAACCAGTTAGTTGCATTTGTAACCAAATTCCTGAAAAGGAATATAAAAATATTCTTTACAATTGAAAGGTGTGGGTGGGAACTTGCTGCCCACCTATTTTCCACCCTCATTTGTTTTCTACAGCAGAACTTTAATTTTCACATTTCCTTAGACACATTGATTTGTGATGCCAAATGCAGTTGTCCGGTGAACTCATGGGAACTCTTGTTTTGTAGGTACTGTACTACAGTTGGACTTTGTGTTCTTTTTGCAGTATTTTGTGAATACTTCTTTTAATCTGTATGTAATATGTCAGTCATATCACAATTTGAGATATCCAAGGCTTTGCATCAATTCATGTAGCGTTTCTGATTTCAGAGAGGAAGAGCTTAGAATAAGTGCTCGCATTGAGGCCTGTTTCTCATGGAGGTGGCAAAACTTGAGACTGAGCTGTAGTGCTACAGACTCAGATGGAGGCGCTCATGATTGAATGCTTTCTTCATGACAAAAATGCTCTCTCCATGTAAAAAATAAGAACCATGTACATTTGGGGAGAAGGAAAACTGGATTGTGTCTGGCGCAGGGTGACAAAGATAGTAAGGGGCCTTGGGATCAAGTCCTACATCTAAAGGTTGAAGGTGCTGAGTATTTTTAGCATGGAAAAGAGGCAATGTGAATGCTACCTTGAAACATTGAAGATATAAATGATGGAGCACATTTGTTTTCTGTTGCCCCAGAAGGTAGTACCTAAACAAACAGGTTCAAATGATAGGAAGGGGGAATTTGACTAAAATTTAGGAAGAACTTCAACTTATCAGTCTATGGAACAGACTGCTTTGGAAGGTGGTAGATTCTCCATTACGTTTCCAATATGAAGTTGCTTAGTTACCTGTTGGGAATGCTGTAGCCATGAATTTCCTACGTCCTGTACAGGGGTTGGAGGAGATGCCCTTTTAAGGTACGTTCCTCTTCGTGTGAATTGACTGGGCTAAAGCCCTTGTTGACAAGTAAAAGGATTTCTTTTGTGAGGAGAATTCATCGTGTAGGCATTCTGCAGTCTGGAGCAGTAAATTCCAGTGACATGTTTTCCATCTTACATAGAACTTGGCCTCTATGTGTGAGGGTTTATTGTTATGTAGGGTTTATTCTAAGCTTGCTCACTTCCCTTTTATTTCTTTTAACTCCATGGAGCTGCTCTTATGAGTAAGCTCTGGAAACTTGCTAAAGGACAACTATTCTGAGCAGGAACATGTCCTGTCTTCAAATGATTGGGCATCCTTGTGCCAGTTTTGTAATATAGCAGGCACTTCCCTTCTACAGAAGTTCTACTCCCTGCAATCTCTATAAGGCTTCTTGACTACACAGAAGTCACTTGTGGCTGAATCAAGTTTTTGGCAAGTCTTTCATTCTCAAGGCCTTTGCAAACGCCTTTTGGGGCAAGTGACATGCTATGTTGTGCTTCTGGAATTTATTTTAGAAAATGCTGTTTAGAGAGCAGCTTGCATTATACGTTAAATAAAGATCTGCTAACCACGACATGTGTTCTTTTTAATTGTTGGCAAGTCTCCATCCAGATGTCAAATTCCCCTAGTGCTCAGTCTGAGCATGGTGTGAAAGATACTTTAGCAAAAGAGGCCTCTCCAACACAATAGTTTGGCATTACAGGAGCTGTATGGATGATCCGTACAGGAATTGGTATAGTCTGTGCAGATTAATTTACGGTTGCCATAAGTATGGAATTTTTTGGACATAGACAGTATTTGGCCCTTGTAAACAGCATCAGGGTGGAAATCGCTGAAAGCTCATCAGCTTTGGGCAAAAAAGCTCAACAACTTTTGTGTCCAGATGTTCACTTTTTGAAATATGGCAATCCTAATTAAGGATGATGGGTGTTAATCAGAAAAGCCTGCGTAGTGAATTTGAGGCTGATGGAATGACTGCTCACATTCTTCTCTACGCAGGTTATGGTATACAGTGCTAAGATGTTTATACATTTTAGGTTATAAACAAGTACTTCCTGTACTTTTTTGTTCTTCTGTATTCCTAACATCCCAATGAGGTAAGTCAATCTTCCTGCACTTGTGGAACTCAGGCTGGGATATTGTGGAAAGAGATTGCTTGTTTGCTTGCAGTATGGCTACATATTTTGTAAGATTTTATTCTTGCACTGCTTCAGGTCAGAATTTTACAGAGTACAGCGCAAAAACTTATTCATACATAATGATGGTTTCCCAACAAACCATGGCTGCCTCCTTCCTTCTTTCCTATGCATAAACACAAAGCTTGGCTTTGTTAAACCACAGTTTCACGTGATGTCCCAACTCAGTATCTGATTTGAACGATCTCTGCAAAGGTATCTGAAGAAGTGTACATGCACATGAAAGCTTATACCCAGAACAAACTTAGTTGGTCTCTAAGGTGCTACTGGACAATTTTTTACTTTTTTATTTCAACTGCTTCAGACCAACACGGCTACCTACCTGACTCTGCAAACTATGACACTGAATTAGGTGAACCCAGCTTTGCAGTTTTAGCAAACCACAAATTATTGAATTAGAATGAAAGAGGGGAATGGAGTTGGGCTCATGTCTGAACAGACTGTGTGAAGTAATATACTTCTGAAACATCACATACTCTAAAAATTCAGCACACTGCCATGTTTCCATGAATAGCAAAGCAATTGAGCATCTTATTTTAGATGCCAGAAGGACAGGAAGGTTTATATAGGTTTTGCCTCTTGACACTGATCTGCTGAACGTAATTGAAGATGGGCTCACAGTGTTCACCTTGAGATTATTTTTATTTGTTACTGTGCCCTTCCCCCCTATTTTTTGTCTTTCATGGCATTTGAGAAGTTAGTTACATGGTAATAGTAATATGCACTGACAAGACTTGGATAAGACAAAAAATGGACTTTACCTCCTTACTCCGAGACAGCATTTAATGTCATCAGAGGAACACGAATGAAATGAGGAACTGCTTGTGTGATGTTAAAAGGTTTTAACATTCAGTCTGCTACTGGTGGGAAAGAAATGCAGGAACATGAAAAGGATGGTGCAGAGGGCCGTTGCTCAGTGGAAGAGTGCATATTTTGGGTGCAAGAGGCCCCAAATTTGATCCCCGACATTGGCAGATAGAGCTGAGAATGTTTCCTGCCTGGAATCCTGGAGAGAAGAAGAAGAAGAAGAAGAAGAAGAAGAAGAAGAAGAAGAAGAAGAAGAGGAGTTTGGATTTGATATCCTGCCTTTCACTCCCTTTAAGGAGTCTCAAAGCGGCTAACATTCTCCTTTCCCTTCCCCACAACAAACACTCTGTGAGGTGAGTGGGGCTGAGAGACTTCAAAGAAGTGTGACTAGCCCAAGGTCACCCAGCAGCTGCATGTGGAGGAGCGGAGACGCGAACCCGGTTCACCAGATTACGAGTCCACCACTCTTAACCACTACACCACACTGGCTCTCTGCCAAGTCACTGACAAGTCAGGGTTGGCAGTACCAGTGCTCTGACTCTGTACAGGACAGCTTCTGATGTCTCCTACGAAACAACTGAGGCCTGTTTTAAATTGGTGATTTCATATTATTAACAACTGGAGCCCTCTAAGCAATTCTAGTATGCAACCTTCATTCACTTCAACCTGGCTGTTGGGAAAGCCCTATTGATTGGAGCAGTGGGAAAGGCATATACAGTGGTACCTCTGGTTACGTACTTACCATATTTTTCGCTCTATAGGACGCACTTTTTCCCCTCCAAAAATTGAGGGGAAATGTGTGTGCGTCCTATGGAGCGAATTCAGGCTCCTTGGCTTCAGCGATAGCAACACTAAGCCTCCAAAGCGCAGAGGGAGCACTCCCTCCATGCTCCAAAGGCTTCGCGTTGCTTTCGCTGAAGCCTAGAGAGCGAGAGGTGTCGGTGCGCACCGACCCCTCTCGCTCTCCAGGCTTCAGGGAGAGGCTGCACGTGGCTATGGCTTCTTTAGCCCCGTGCAGCTTCTCCCGGGAGGGAGAGGTTGCGTGGGGCTAAAGAGGAAGCCAAAACAACCAGCGGGATCCATCCCGCTGGCTGGCTTAGCTTGTGCCATAGCCGCGGACAACCCCTCCAGCTGGCTGCCTTGGCTTGTTCCATAGTCGTGATGCTTTTGAATTATGGTGCTGGAGGAGACTCTTGAGAGTCCCATAGACTGCAAGAAGATCAAAGCTATCCATTCTTAAGGAAATCAGCCCTGAGTGCTCGCTGGAAGGACAGATCCTGAAGCTGAGGCTCCAATACTTTGGCCACCTCATGAGAAGAGAAGACTCCCTGGAAAAAACCCTGATGTTGGGGAAGATTGAGGGCACAAGGAGAAGGGGATGACAGAGGATGAGATGGTTGGACAGTGTTCTCGAAGCTACCAGCATGAGTTTGACCAAACTGCGGGAGGCAGTGGAAGACAGGAGTGCCTGGCATACTCTGGTCCATGGGGTCACGAAGAGTCGGACACGACTAAATGACTAAACAAAACTTTGCTTCTGACTACCAGTCGCTGGAAACGGCAGGAGGGGAGAATGTGCTTGGGCCCTGTTTATGCGCTTCCCACAGGTATCTGGTTGACCTGTTAATAAGACATTTTCATCCAGGTATCCATGGTGAAATCAGGATCTCTTTCCTAGACAGTCATGACCAGTTCACTCCCCATTTAGTGTATAGGATTTTTCTGACCCATGGGCAGACAATGAATTGCTAGACCCATGCCAGATGGCTGCTTCTAGGAGATGCTGCACTCCGCAGCAAGAAGTGCAGAGCCTGAGAGGTCTAGTCATGTTCAGGGAGCACAAAAGGGCTCCGCTAAGACTGAGCTCCTAATGGATCAAGCTGTCTGCTCCCTGGACCCTGTCCAAGGTCCTGAAACTCTTTCCACAAACTTCCCTTGTTCTCAGGAACTCTAATCTTGACTGAACTCATCTGCAGATTGCTTGCTAGATTTCACCCTTGTGAACTGCTTGTGGGAGCAGGAGACGAGCTCCTGGCAGTTGCCAATGGATGGAGGCTCTTCACAAGAGGATCATGAACCCATGTGGCAAATCCCTCCAGATGCTGTAGCATGGAACTCTAGCTGTTTGGGACAGCCTCCTTGTGGCAAGTGTTAACAAGCACACCACCCCTGCGTTCCTTGCTATGCGGATGATTGATCAGAATCTGCTTCATCTAAAGCAGCGTTTCCCAAACTTGGGTCTCTAGCTGTTTTTTAACAACAACACCCATCATCCCCAGCTAGCAGGACCAGTGGTCAGGGATGATGGGAACTGTAGCCTAAAAACAGCTGGAGACCCAAGTTTGGGAAACCCTGATCTAGAGAGTCAGTGTGTTATTGTGTTTGAATGTCAGATTAGGACCTGGGAGACTAGGGTTCAAATTCCCATGTGGCCACAAAGCTCACTGGGTGTCCTTGGGCCAGTCGCTGCCTCTCAGCCCAACATACAGAGATTAAACAAAGAGGACAGGAAACCACGTGCAACCCCTTGAACACCTTGGAGAAAAAGGTGGGATATAGGCACAATAAATAAAACAAAACTAAATAAAATAGATGACAACTGTCTATTACTCCATGGATTTGTATAGCTATTTAGGCCACAATTTAATTGCTTTTGCTAAAATAAAGGCTCACATTTTAGAGTTTAGTGGCTACCTGCTTACACCAGGCCTCTGACTGAAAGCTCACAGAAACCCGTTGGTGGATGACAGTTTGACTTGCAGCTGTGGGAAAGTCTTACCCTGAGTGGAGATGTAAAAATTAAGCAAATGGATTTCCCCCCTCTGGCACCGGATACCACCTCTTGCTATTCCCTTCCCCTGTTTTCCTCTAACGGACGGGGAAAGCATTAACTTGGAATAATCAATGTAACTTCCTGGAGAGCCCTTTGAGTAAAAGGCTTGTCATGTTTCTTCATTTAGTGGAACAGACGGGGGCCTGTTGTCGGGAGGCCTGGGCTGCTCCCCCTGCAGATAGATGCTCCCACTTACAAAATGTGCTCCGCAGACTGATTGGTCGCGAGCTATTTGCAAGCAAATGCTTCTCTTCCAGGAAAAGTTCTGGGACTTTGGGATCGCGCTGCTGAGAGCAATTAGCGCTGCTGAGAATGCTGGGATCAGGAGACAGGGCTTCTTGAACATTTGTCCTAGTGAACGTTCCCCAGTTGAGAGAGACCGTTTTAGCCTTCCCTAAGAGGGAGAGACGCATTGGTATGTAACTTTACAAAGGCCCTTAAAACTTCTCTTAAACAAGAGCAGTCTAACTGTTTGCCAGTGCTAGCAAACTAGCCAATGTGGCGTAGTGGTTAGAGTGTTGGACTAGAACCTAGGAGACCAGGGTTCCAGTCCCCACTTGGCCGTGAAGCTCTTTGGGTGACTTTGGGCCAGTCACCGACTCTCAGTCTATCTTACTTCACAGTGGGGATTAATTGAGGAAGAGGAGGAGGAGGAGAAGGACAACAACTGTGTGGGCCACCTTGGAGCAAAAGGTGATCTAAATGCAAGTAATAAATTGTTTCTTGAGGTTGTAGCCACTGAACGCATTGCACAGACAGGGCAACTTCCCCTCATGCAGTGACACTTACCCTCCCTCTCCCCCTGACCCCTTTGGGAATAAAAAGAGAGCTACCTGCCACCAACTGCCCTGTGGGGAAAATCCCAGGGGAGTATGCAAGGACATCAGACAAAGGAGACATTAGGACCTGCTGGACATCCTGTTGGACTGACCCTCTGGAGCCATCTACGTTTCTGGGCACAATTCAAAGTGTTGGTGCTGACCTTTAAAGCCCTAAACAGCCTTGGCCCAGTATACCTGAAGGAGCGTCTCCACCCCCATTGTTCAGACTAAACATGAGGTCCAGCTCCAAGGGCCTTCTGGCAGTTCCCTCACTGTGAGAAGTGAGGTTGCTGGGAACCAGGCAGAGGGCCTTCTCAGTAGTGGTGCCCGCCCTGTGGAATGCCCTTCCATCAGATGTCAAGGAAATAAACAACTGCCTGACTTTTAGAAAACATCTGAAGGCAGCCCTGTTTAGGGAAGTTTTTAATGTTTGATGTTTTATTGTGTTTTTAATATTCTGTTGTGAGTCGCCCAGAGTGGCTGGGGAAACCCAGCCAGATGGGTGGGGAATAATAATAATAATAATAACAACAATAATAATTTTATCTACCACCATCCCAATACCTTGCTATATGTTGATATTGCTAAGTGTTTGTATGACTAAGTGTTTTTTCCAATGTGAATTGATGTTGCTTGTAAGCTGCCTTGTAGGGATTTGTACCCTGCAAGGAGGGATGCAAACAGCTATCTCCCTTTTCTTTTCCTTGGACTGCTATCGTGCCATGCACCTTGCACGTTTTCACCATGGCTCCATGTCTGGGATGTCTCTCATCCTTAGAGAAATGGGTCCCCTACTTGTGTGAATCACTGGAAAGGGAGAGTAATTTCTCCCCACTTCTATTTAAATACCAGGATGAAGCAGGCAGACTTGTTCAAGTGCATCAGACTTTGAAAGGAAATCCACAACTGATTAGTGAGCTAAATCCTGCTTCCGTGATAAACGTCCTGCTCCCCCTCCCCCCTTCCAGTTTGGGAGGGATCGAGTATCGCCTTTTGCCAGTTTGGCTTTTCTTCTGCCCCCTCCTTCCTGCCTGCGTTTCCAGCCCCTTACAACAATCTCTCTTCTCTCTCTGCGCTCTGGTCAGGTTCTTTAAAGGCAATCATTGTCGGCATTTGTCATTAACCTTTTTTCCCTCCGTTTTTATTTATATATAAAAAAGAGAGAATGCCAGAGAAACCAGGAAGCAATGGTAACAGCAGGGCAATTGCAGATGAATAATGAAAGGATTCATCACAGCCGTACCTGGATATATATATTTTTTGCAGCCAAGCGAGACGGATTCCCATCACAGCTCGGGGACTCGTTCCACACAGCCACTCATCTTTCATGCTGAAGGGGAAGGGAAAGGTGGAGACAGTATCATTATGGATATAACTGAGCTCTGAAGTGACTGGTCAAGGTTGCTGCTTCGCTCACGACACAACTGCATATCGGACTGGAATTCTATATGCATACTCGACTGTTATCTGGCAAAGCAGCTGGTCCTTAGAATTCGTAAGGGTTTATCTGCAGAGAGCAGTCAATGTATATAGATCACAGAACCGTAGAGTTGGAAGGGAACCTGAGGATCATCAGGTCTAACCCCCTGCAGTGCAGGAATATGCAGTTGTCCCATACAGGGATCAAACCTGCAACCTCTGCTTTATCAGCACCATGCTCTAACCAACTGAGCTATCCAGGCTGATAAGGGATGACAGGGACAGGAAATCTATGGCCCTCCAGATCGTATTGAACTCCCAGTTCCCATCACTCCTATCCAGAGTGGCTAATCATCAGGGGTGATGGAGCAGCTAGAAAGCCTTAGGTTCCCCACCATTGGTCTATGGCAGGGTTTCCCAAACTTGGGATTACAATTCCCATCATCCTTGACCACTGGTCCTGCTAGCTAGGGATGATGGGAGTTGTAGTCCAAAAACAGCCAGAGATCCAAGTTTGGGAAACCCTGGTCTATGGAAAGCTTTTATTTAAAGTTTAGTAGAGGAATAAGGTTTTGGATGCCAAGGGAAGAGCAACAACATCATTATATTTATATTTATATTCCACCTTCCCTCCAAGGAGCCCGGGTGTGTGTGTACATGGTTTCTCTTCCCATTTATCATCACAACAACCCTGTGAAGTAGGTTGGGCTGAGGATGAATGACTGGCCTGAGATCAGCCTGTGAGCTGAGTGGGGATTGAGCTCTGGTTTCCCAGCTCTTAGTCTGACACTTTAACCACTGCGCCACACTGGCAAGGCTGTTGCCTTGGAGCAACATGCTTTGTATGTAAAAGGTTCCTGGTTCCATCCCTGGCATTTCTAGATAGTGCTGGGGAAAGACTTCTGCCTGGATCCTGGAGGGCAAAAATCAGTGTTGAAAATACTGCACGAGATGGACCAGTGATCCAACTTGGTATAAACCAGATCCCTATGTTTTCTAATCCATTTGTCCAGTAATACTATCCTCCCGGGTGAAAAATGTGATTATTTGCTGATCAACTTTTCAGCTTCTGTTCTCCAGCCTTTTGTTCTTTTCTTCTGGTGTCCTCAAAACTGTGAAGTTAAGCTAACAGAGTTTGTGTGACTATCCATCTTCCTCTGTGCTACAGAATCAAGAAGAGTTCGCCTAGTAGACACACAATCTGTTGTTCCCCCAGCAGTAAGTCCTACTGTTTTCAGCTGGGCTTACTGCTAGTTTAGTTTGCATAGCATTACAGGCTAAGAGTCTTCTTCTTCTTCTTCTTCTTCTTCTTCTTCTTCTTCTTCTTCTTCTTCTTTTTCTTCTTCCTGCCAGTGAGATGAATGGAAAGACGTTTTCTTACTCTTCAATTTTCTGCAATCTTGGTTGATTAGAGGTAGCCTGGGATGTCCATTGCTGCCCTCTGACAGATTTCAGGTTTGTCCTCCAAGTTTAGTCCAGATAATATTGTCTTTTGTGGTGAAACAAGGCCGATCTGGGCATTGAAGTTGCCTCCCAAGACAAGCCGAGGGTTGGGTGACAGAGAGTCTATACTTTCGAGTAGTTGGTCAAGTTTTTGCCTGGGATGTGTGACCAGATATGCCCAAAATGTGGTGGATGTGTAGTTACACTAGGGAGTGGCACCTGCTGTTCTTAAGGAGGCAACAGTTACTCCTGATCTCTCAGTAGCCTTTGACATCTATCCATGGTATCCTGGACCAACCCTGTGAGATGGGAACTGGGGGCACTGTCCTTCAGTGGTCCTACTCCTATTTTCACGGCTTGTTACACAGCATCAAGAGACTGCCTGTCAGGTCCCTGGCAATTGCATTATGTGTCCCATAGGGTACATCTTGTCCCTACTTCCATTTAGTATGAATGGCCATTAGGAGATGTGGAGCAAAGTGCCATCAGTATGTTGATGACACCCAGCTCTATTTCTTGGTGAGATCTGAATCAGGTATCTGTGCAAGCCTGGGATCAGTCTCTGGATACAGTGGGGGGGGGGCTATATGGGGGCAAATAAGGGGGACACCCTGAGATGCTGAGCAACAAACTGAGAATGCTAAACTGTGAGAGTATATATATGGAACCAGAGTATATGGTTCCTTTTTGGAACTTCACAGTTCTCACCAAAGGAATATTGTATTCCACTTGTGTAGTTTCCTCTTCCAAAAAGGCTTTTTGGTGGATTATTTTTCATCCTAGTCTTTATTTGTACCTGTTTAGAGAAACTTCTACTTATATATGTTTTTATTGTTAAATGGGATTTTCCATGGCAAATGATTCACATATGAAATCCAAACCATCCTAAATATCTTTGCAGAAGCTTACGAAAAGCTTGGCCTATCACTCAACATCCAAAAAACCAAAGTGCTGCATCAACAAGTACAAAATAACCCCTCTGCAGCACCACAAATCCAACCCAATGGTGTAACGTTGGAAAATGTTGATCACTTTCCCTACCTAGGCAGTTATCTCTCCCCAAGGGCCAACATTGATGCTGAAATCCAGCATCACCTGAGGTCTGCGAGTGTGGCTTTCTCCCAATTGCAGTGCAGAGTTTTTGAGGACTGGGATATTCGCAGGAAAACCAAAATGCTGGTTTACAAAGCTATTGTACTACCAACCTCCCTATATGCTTGTGAAACATGGACCACTTATAAATGTCATCTCCAACTCCTCGAAAGATTCCATCAATGGTGTCTCCGAAAAATTTTACACATCATTTGGGAAGACAGGCGAACTAATATCAGTGTACTGGAAGAATCAAAGATCACCAGTGTTGAAGCAATGATTCTTCAACATCAACTTCGTTGGACTGGTCATGTAGTGCGAATGCCTGATGATCGTCTTCCAAAGCAACTACTCTATTCCGAACTTAAAAATGGAAAGTGTAATGCTGGTGGTCAACAAAAGAGGTTTAAAGACTGTCTCAAGGCAAATCTGAAAAAACGTAGTATAAACACTGACAACTGGGAAACACTGGCCTGCGAGCGCTTCAGTTGGAGAACAGCCTTTACCAAAGGTGTCATGGACTTTAAAGACACTCGAACTCAGGAAGCAAGGGAGAAACGTGCTAAGAGGAAGGCACATTTGGCAAATCCACACCGTGATCAACTCCCGCCCGGAAACCAATGTCCCCACTGTGGAAGGATGTGTGGATCCAGAATTGGCCTCCACAGTCACTTACGGATGCATTCTTCAAACCGTATTTATGGAAGACAATCTTACTCGGCTACGAGTGACCGCTGAAGAAGAAGAAGAAGAAGAAGAAGAAGAAGAAGAAGGGATAAATGGGGTAGTATCAAGCAGCTGTAAAGCTCACCAGCAAACCATAACCCTGTTGTAAATAACCCTGTTGTAATGGATTTAGGGGTTGCTCGTGCGTAAGTTGCCGCCACTGCTGGTGAGGTTACCTGGTTAAACCCTTTCTGACTGAACAGCCTCCAGCATCGTGACTGTCTCAGTCGCTGGCAGAATCCGTCAGTGGGCGTTTCTTGAACCTTTTCCAGCATAAAAGTTGTTTGACGCCAAGTCTCCTCCTACTCTCCCTGCGCGGAAGTCTTCTGCGCAGGGAGGGTGTGGGCAGCGGAGTACCCGTACTCTCTCCGCTGGTCTCCGGTGAGGAGTCTTGGAGCCTCCTCTCCGATTCCCCCATCTGCCCCCCTTCTCCACTGGTGTTACGCTGATTTCCTTCCCCAGCAGATGGGCTGCCTCTCTCCCTACTGGGACCCTCTCCTGCATCCCTCTGGAGCCTTCCCTCCGCCTCTAGCTCTGATGGCAGTTCCCTGACACCTGTTGAATAGTTTAAAAAGATAAACATTCCATGCTTTGCTTTTGCATTCAACTGCAGTATAAAATGTATTTGCTCTCCCTCCTCTCTACTCATATGTTCACATCAGTGAATTTCCAATCAGTGCTGCAACAGTAAGAATTTGTGCTTGAGCTTGCTTTTCCTCTCTCCCTCCTGTTCCTTTTTCCTTGTGTGTCGTGTCTTTTTAGATCATAGAGCAGGAGGGCAGGGAAATCTTAGGACTGATTTGTGCAAGTGGCTCAGAAACCTTTTGGTGAAGGGGTCAGGTTTAAATGCCTTTAAAAACAACAACAGCTCAGACTGGATCTTGTAAAAGAGAGGGCACTGTAGAATTTCCTACAATGTTAATTCTAGAAACATTTGAGTTGAAAGGATAAAGCTCTCTGTCTCTCTTCCTACCCCTCTCCCAAGCCTTCAATAGTTGTAAAATATTGAAGGTAGGAAAATAATTGTTCTTGCTGAAGGCTTGCACTAAGGCACACAATCTTCTCCCAGCCATGCAGGCCCTTTTCAATTGGAAATATTTAACACTCTATTAGTTTCTGCTTTGTTCTCGAATGTATCGGTGATCATAATGTTCCCAGAGGCAACTCAAATGATGAGGGCTTCACTGGTGCAAGTTTGCATAACCTGCTCTGAAATACTTCAGTTCTTATGATGTATCTCTCAACTGAATTAGAACTGCCAAATGTGTGAACTTGCCTGAATAATGACTGTCCTCACCTCTTGCCTCTGAGCCTTGTTTGTACCACAGACGCAGGGTGTGTGTGTGCGTGCGTATCGAGGGAACCTCAGGCCCCTCCAGGCCTCTTTATTTGGGCTTTGGGGCTCTCACCAGAACACACTCCCTCCCAGAGGACATTCCCTCCTTGAATGATTTTGCGTGACTGAAATGTGCCCTCCAACTGTGACCATGCCCCTTGCTTGCTTGGAAGCGGGACGGAGAGGTGTGTTCACATATTTGTGGAAACCTCCAACCTTTGAATAGCTGGATTGCAAACATTGCTTGGCCCACTTTTGCCTTTGGTCCTGCCCACTATGGCTATGCAGCCGCCAGGAGGTTGAGCATAATGGAACTGGCCCTCGAGTTGAAACATCTCCCTCCCTGGATATACAAATATTAGGATAATTGTATGAACCAGCATGCTTTTGAATTATGAACCAGCATGCTTTTGAATTATGGTGCTGGAGGAGACTCTTGAGAGTCCCATGGACTGCAAGAAGAACAAACCTATCCATTCTTAAGGAAATCAGCCCTGAGTGCTCACTGGAAGGACAGATCCTGAAGCTGAGGCTCCAATACTTTGGCCACCTCATGAGAAGAGACGACTCCCTGGAAAAGACCCGGATGTTGGGAAAGATGGAGGGCACAAGGAGAAGGGGACGACAGAGGACGAGATGGTTGGACAGTGTTCTCGAAGCTACCAG